AATCAAACCAACAGGACCAGTATAACTGTTGTAATTTTAAGACAAGGTGATTTAAAATCTAGCTATTTATCCAGATCATCTTGTTTTCCTGACATTTTGGGGGAGTAGAGGGGATATATACAGTCAGGTACGACACCCAGGAAAACCTATGCTCTATCATCAGACACAGTGGCATTTCTCATCTCCTATTTCCACTAAGGTACTCGGTGATTAGTGTCACAATACATTTTCAAGAATAGGCTACCTAACAGCACTCAAGACCTTTGTTCACATTTGAGCCAGAGTGGAAGACTACTACAAATTCACAGACTTACTATAGAAAAACGAAAGGTAAGACAAAGTGGTTTTGACACAGGTGATCTTTTTTGTTTAATGCACAATACTTTTTGCTTATCTAATAGCACTGTTATGATTAGTACTATCCTGCAAATGTTCCCTTCATTTCTATCCTCCTGGTACAATGCATATTTTGCAGTACTGCTGTTCCAGCTGTGAATGGTTTCCTCTAGCCCTGCCACATTCTTATTTTTGCTGCAATTTCCAGATCCATACTCTACAGCAGTAGTTCAAGTCACTTTGTTCTCTTGTTCAGGCCGCTATTGCCACTTACATACATCTAAGCTCTTAGTTATGTGTGTATGTCGTATTACGCACCATTTTTCCACTAAGCTATTACTATTTACCTGACTTATCTATCATAACACTACTCTCTTTACTGATAATCCATTACTAACTATTGTTGCATCTCCTTTTATCCAATTACACCCGGAGGGGAAGATTCCCTTAGTCTTCTTCCCCTCTGTCTAACACTTCTTAACTACAGCAGCATTTTGCCAAAGACTATTTTCTCTGGCATTATGTTACTTTCGAGAGGACTTTTTTTCTCCTTTTATTCCTCTCCCCTTCCTCTTCTACTTCAGCAACTAACTGCAGGCCAGCAACTAAGCGTCCCTAGAACCACCTGTACTTCAGCAGTGTCAATGTTTAATCCCCATGGGCTGCACCACACAGCCACTTAGTCACTCCCTCCCCAGCGGGATGATAGTGAGAATCAAAAGGGTGAAAGTGAAAAAACTCGTGGGTTGAGATAAAATCAGTTTAATAGGTAAAGCAAAAGCCACCCACGCAAGAAAAGCAAAATAAGGAATTCACTCAGTACTTCCCATCAGCAGGCAGATATTCAGCCATCTGCAGGAAAGCAAGGCTCCATCATGTGTAATCATACTTGGGAAGACAAACTTCATACATCAGACAACATCATACTTGGTAAGACAAACAGCCTAACTCTGAATGTCATCCCCTTCCTTCCTTCTTCCTCCAGCTTTTAATGCTAAGCGTGATGTCATATGGTATGGGATATCCCTTGGGCCACTTGGGGCCAGCTGTTCCAGCTGTGTCCCCTCCCAACTTCTGATGCACCCCCAGCCTACTCACCAGCAAGGTGGTGTGGGAAGCAGAAAAGGCCTTGATGCTGTGTAAGCACTGCACAGCAGTAACACACCCCTGTGTTATCTACAGTTTTCATTACAAATCCAAAACATAACCCCACACAAGCTACTATTAAGAAATTAACATCACAGCCAAAACCTGTACAATCAGTTCTCAATTCATTATCTGACTTTCACTGTCTTTCTGTGTCTTTGTCCTCTTTCACCAGGCATTGGAGCTATTTCAGGTAAGACTGCTTGCATCTCCCACAACTGAGCACAGGTATCCATGACAGGTCCCATGATGAATTTCACATTGTCTTTGACATGCAGCAAGTTGAAATTCATCAGGAAGTTATTTCTTCATTGCTTTCAAAAATCTTATCAGTCTCAGGTTCATACCTTCTGCACTAGTGCCCAGCAAATAGCTCATAATTCTGTTTTTCAGCATCCGCTCTTATAACAGGACCATCAACCTTAATAAGGAACTAAAAAGCCCCTCAGTTGGTTACTTGAGCTCCAAGATGCACTTCATGTGCACCTTCAGTCATTTTCTTTCCAGTTTGCTTTCTTTTTGAAAACCTGTATCTCCATCCTGCACAGTCTTCAGTGCATTACTGTACTTCTGGGAATAATCCCAAGCTATTTCCCATGACTTCTCTTCGCAGTACCCACTGCTCAGGTTAAGTAACAAAAGCCTACAAACAGCATTTGTCACCCGAGAGTGAGAGTCCTAGCTTATGTAAGGTTCTTCACATAATTTACAAAGACACGTATGAAGTACAAACTTTTTAAGTGAAAGCTGTCACAAGAAGCTCGTTTATTATACATTAATTTACTTACTTGCACAGTGTTCTTTTAGAAATAGGTATTATTCCCATTTCTACAAGTGGAAAAAAAGAGAGGCACAAAATGACAACAAAGGACTGGAAGATACCACCTGACCCATGAAGTGTGCCCTGCCACAACTACATACCAACATGCAAGCCAACAATTTAGTAAATCTCAGACAAAATCCGTATTGCCATAAGCAGCTTACAATTCTCATCCGTGTTACAAGCAAATCTCACACTGCTTTGCATGTTCTCCAAATGTAATCACATTAAAATATGCCGGTAACACACAGATGAGTTTCACCATGCTGCAACTGCCAAGAACAACATGAGCTGAACTGGAAATAAAGCTCACAGTGCAGTCAAGTATAACCTGCGTACCTGTATCATTTCCATCATCTCCGTGGTGATGATGTCCTTCTCTATCATATGCTCCATCAACTCTTTCAGAACCAGCTGTTTTGCCAGCACCACCCGGTTCTTCTTTAGCGCTTCCTGGTGACGTTGCTGCATGCCGCACGCCGCCAGTACCCTGGAAGGAGAGAGAAGAATTAAGCCAAACTCAACGGCAAGAGCCACCCTTACCCCTCCCGACTTTCTGCTCGGGAAGAAGCAGATCGACTCCGCGGGCAGCCGCCACCTGACAGCGGGCGGAAGAGGGGCCCCACCGCCCGCCCCGCGGGGCAGATGGGCGGCGAAGGGCGCGGTCCGCGCCACCCCCGGCCCCCGAAGCACCCGGGGCGAGGCGGCGGCAAAGCTGCGTGCCGGTGCAGGGCGCTGGGCGCTCCCCCGGGACCAGCTCCCGCCAAACGGCCCGTGCCGCGCGAGTCCCTCCCGCCGCTCTTCCCTCACCCCTCCACGCGCGCGCTCATTCCTTCCCGACGGCCCCAGCGATCCCACCCGCTAGACCCGCCTCCTCAAATCACATGACCAAGGCGAAGGCCGGTCCCCCCCCCCCCCCGACACCGCCCCTCCCTTTGCGTCAGAGAAACAAAACCAGCATTAGCGCCACCCGTTGCGCGCATGCGCAAATAACACTTTCCCCCATGGCGTGCGGGGGGTGGAAGAGGTTTTGCGTCTCTTCCGGCTGGGCCCGGCCGCGGGGGATGGGGCGTTTCCCGTGGCCTGTGAGGGCGGCCCCGGGCCCGGGCCCGGGCCCGGCACCGGCCCGCGGGAAGTCGGGGTGCAGCGTGGTGATACAGAGGCAGGGGTTATGGCACAGGGTCTTGCACGTCAGAATAACGGGAGGGGTTCTGCGTTCAAGTAGAATTAACTAGTACACAGCTTTCCTTGCAAACATACCGGTTCAGGGATTTTTTTTTTTTTTTCAGAGTTTTGTTACATATGTTTTGTTGACATATGTTTCAGCTGAAGTCAGCTGAAATCAAAAAAGGGCTCGAGTAGCATTCAGAAATTAAAACTGAGAAAGGGAGCACGCAGAACATGCAGAGCACGTGAAATATGAAGGGGAAAGCAAGTGAGCGTCCTTTTAGCAGAAGCAAATTTACAGCTCTGTCATGTAAAGCTTCAGACAGTTGTTCCTTGGTGTACAGGAGTTTCACATACTAAAACTTAACACGTGTCCAAAGGCTTGAATAACCTTTAGAGATGCTGAAGGCAAAATGCTAGTGATCATAACTGGTGATGTTACTGGTCTTTGTTCTGGCTAGTTTTTATCTGTGCTGGTCATCTGAATTTCTGTCTCCTGGCAATGTGGTGCAGTTAGAAAGGTGCTGGGTTGCCCAGTTTAGAGCCAAAGTTTCTATTCCTGCGTGGTATACCTGTGTGCTTTTTATTGTGGTTTGTTTTTTTGTGTTTGTAGATAAAGGAAGAAAATGCAAGAATTGATTGGCTTTAAAGAAATCACATTGCCTCTATCAGCAAATTTGTTTCTCATAATACTGATACCTGTGAACTAAGATTATTACAAAATAGATATTTGTGGAATACAATTAGTAAGATCAATTTAAGATGTTTTAACCATTTAACAATTGTGCTGCAGAACAAATACTGATCTTTTGAGGAATAATTAGAATAACTGTAGGATAAGGAACTCAAATAATCTTAATGGAGTCATTTTGGCCTTGTAGTGGCAGGTGCAAACAAAAATAAAGAAGCTGCAAATTAGCAACAAAACCAGACCAGGTCAGCCTTGAAGGACAAGATATATGTGACCACAGGACTGAGTTTGCGCAGAAGTAAGGGTCAAGTGGCAGACACAGTGAAGAAGACTACGAGCCTTCATCTGAAGACCCCAGACGACCACCTGAAGACTCCAACAGACATGCGCAAGAGACATTAATATGTTAAATGAGTTCCCAGAAAAGTTATGAATATGATAAAAATGCAATGAATATGTATGATTAAGGTAGTATAAATGCTTGTTGATTTAATTTTCACACACACACATTGGAGGAGCTGTCCCCTGTGTGTCTGGCGCTGTAATAAAGAATGCCTGCTTTCTGAAACTCCAAAATTGAGTCTTAGCGAGTGAATTAATTACCACTTTACATTAACACTATGATAGAGGTATCATAGCTGCTTCATCATTAATGATATTAAAGTGATTCAGCTGAGGACTTAGAAATGGAACACCTCTCTTTTTTTCCAAACCAGGATTATCAAATAAACAGAATGCAAGCAAAAGGATGGAGTGGATTTTTTGGGAGGAAAAACTAATGATGCCACTGTGTATTTTTAATGTGGTCCTGTTTATTTCTAAACAACATAAAAGGTCTTTTTTTCCTTCGAACTATAAAGAATGAAACAATAAATAATTTATTTGCTTCTAGCCTATGGTTTGGTGGTTCCTTATATGAATTAAAGATCAATGCAGTCGTATGTGACAAGGTTGTGTCAATTGCTACTCTCCTTCATAAGGAAATTTGGACCACCATATTTTTTTTTATCTGGACATTCACCAGGCACGAATGTCTCTTTGCATAGTGCGGACCACTTTAACGCTGCAGAACCTATCAGTTCAGCTTGCCCATTTTAAAAGACTGCACAGTGTCACTGATCAATGAGAAATAGAACCTGGCTCCAACCAAGAGTTGTCATGATGAAGACCGCATGTGCCTCGGGACAGTTACTCTCAGGTGCTCTCCACTGCAGCTGTGGCCTCGGCAGACAGACTGTCCCATTCCAGAGGCCAGGGAGAAGCCTCCATGCACAGCATCATTACGGAGGACTGGAGGAGCATTGACCTTTCCGTGCAAATACTTGTCATGATGACAATAAAGTATCTCACGCAATCTGTCTGGGACTGTAGTACAGCAGAGAAATACACCTTCCCGTAGAGCTGCAAAGACTGGTGGTCCGGGGAGAGGACAGTTATATATGTATGTAGCCCACTGCTGGCCTCTCTTACAGGAGAAAAACTGCTATTACCTCCCTCTTGTCCACCACTGCAGCCTGTGTGGGATGAGAACATTGTGAAAAAAAGAAGTCATTTCATGGTGCCATGCTTGCCATCAGCTTTTCAACCCCAAGGGATGGTGTCAGCTTCCAGATGAAGACAGCCGCCCTCCCCTCATTCATGCTCCAGTGCAGCACAGCTGAAGTTGCTTTGGCAACCTTGTCTCTTCTCAGGATTCACTCTCCTGCCCCATAAAGGTATATTTCCAGTTTGAGAATTATTGCCATATATAACACAACTTCCCTCACAGTAGTTTTATGTATCTGCCAAGACAAAGTATTGTGGTATTTCATTGATTTATATTTTATGCAAAAAGATTCCAGTGGCATCAGAAGCTGTGTCTGTAGTTCAACTCTGGTTCAAAGAATGATGAGACAAACTTTCACAGTTTCAGGCGTGAAAAATCTCAGCTCTTTCATCTTCCCTCTAGGAGCACCCTTTATTGTGGAGGGTGTTTGGTTCTGCATTCGTGGAAAGTGAAATTCATCATAATATGGAGGGCTGGAAGGCATCTTCAAAGACCTCATCGCTGATGGCACTCTCATAAGCAGGTGGTGGAGTGAGTGGCTCTAGTGGCTCAAAACTGTTTTCAATACCTTTCACTTCATGGATGTCAGAAACAAACCGCTGCAGTCTTGGGGGCAGCACCAGCTGCAACTGCATTCTGGAGCCTGTGTCTGTCTCAGAGGTGCGCCTTCTGTCTGATGCCACTGACACCCTAAGAGCCTCCACCATAATCTCTTCTTGGGCAGATGATTCAATAACTACGTTATAAGGAGGAGGCTCATTCAGTGGTGAGGGCACTAAGCCTGGATTGGATGCAATCGTCCATATTGCTGGAACTGACATGGTCATCACCTCCTCGTAGGTGGGTGCTTCATAGGCGGTGTTCACCCTATGCACAAAGAGAGCAATGTCAGTTCTGCTGGTTATTTTACTGCTTAGATTATGCAGAAGCAGATAGTCCAGGTAATGGACTATAGGGACCCTGCGACAGTCAGTAGATGGGACAGAGGCAGGATATCTCATGTGATATTACTGTGTGTGATATTCTGCCACTGGATCAGCTCATTTGTCCAGCCAACTTAATGTCTTGCTTTCTGGTCTAGAGAATGGCTTATCTGACCATTTTCCCACACTCCCCAGAATAAGTGAAGAAACCTACAGTGTATCTGTATACCACAGTGAATTCCGTATCTTAAGCTTAGTTTGATGTCCCTCATTTAAAATCTTCTACCAGTTAAAATTTATTACTAAGAATTACTAACTACCGATTATTTCATGGAATAAAACAGAACCTTGCTTTTTTAATATATTAGCTCAATGTTCATCAGTTTTTAAGAAATGGAGAAAAGTAAGTCTTTTCATTTAGTGTAAACAAGGAATAACTCTTCTGTGCTAAAAATAATACCTGCAGAAAAAAAATGTTACTTTAGAAACATTTTCCTTTTTAGGTCATATTTTTAAATAAACAGACACTAATTTTCTAGCATGCCCCCAAGGTATCAAAGCTGAATGTACACTTCTTTTAAACACGTAACATTTTTGCCCTCCTACAAACCCTGTATTTGATAATGTCAAGTCATTTATGGATGTGGATAATGATTATCTGGATTATACAAACGAGAAAGCAGAGACACGTAAAGTTAAACTCTTCAACTACACTAGGCAAACTGGGGTTAAATTAGGTGATGCTGAGAACCTGCAAATGTACATGAAGCCAAAAAGTTGAAGGAGTATTGAGAGCCTCTCAAAATCAGGGTTTATTAGTGTCAAGTTGGATTTTTAAGACTGGATACACACCCAGTTACAGATTCCTTTTTAAAAGTTTGCTGAAGAACAGTTGCTCTGGAGATAAGGTTTATAGAGCTAAGCCCAGCTAAGATACAGTATTGCTTCAGCATTTTTCCCTTTTCCTTGTCTGACTCATTGTTTGGCAAGACTCAGTTACTCAAAGAAAAATAAAACCAGTCCTGGATCTGTTTAACCTTGGGAACTGTTAGTGGATCTGTTCTCAGGGGGAAGAAAATATATATTGGACAAGATACAGGACATGTGTGGCATAGACATTTCCAGCCTCTACCTGAAGAAAGAAAGAAAACAATCCAAAAAGAGCTTTTGCCTTCTGAAATGGAGTCTGTGTTTGGTGCCCTAGGGGAAGGGCAGCAAAACAATGTGTAAAATGGCCATGGCTGAGGAAAGAGTTAAAGTAAGAGGAATAACCAGGTTGCTGCTTACCCTGCTTGGCTTTGCCTGTTTGGAGGTATCTCATTTGTATCATGTTGGTGCTGATTCCTCAGGTAACACTCAACAAACACACTCAGCAAATAGCCGATCAGGCACAATCCCCCTACCCCTAGGAAGAAATAGCCGACTGGATTGATGTTAGATGAAATGGCCAGCATGGTGACCCCAATGAGAAGAGCAGCAGTGAAAAGAAGCAACAAGGTTTGACGGATGTTCTTCCAGTGTGTCTCTAACCACATGATAGTACAGATGGTTGTAGCAGACGGTTGAGAGCAGATGAGCAGTTAAGGGGACAGACAACTGTGGAAGACAGAATAGTTTTTTCAACATGAAACATGAGCATACAAATACGTTATCAGTATCGTGACCAGAATAAGAACTCACATACTCAAGTACATACCATCATGAGAACACGCAGACATGCATACCTGCAATAAGCCTGGGAAATCTGCATAAATGCATGCCAGCGTAAAGGTACTAGAATTTCCTATGGGAATGCATGCTGAATAATGGGAATGCTTGGATACACAATTGCAAGACATAAAATGCATAAATAGACCATCAGCACTTATTGCCAGGCTTATGTAAAAATGTCTAGCTTCTTAATAGAACTTAGAACAGTCTAGAAGGCAGATTTGAGGTTACTACAAAAGTAGAACACCAAATAACTTTAAAGGTTAAGTCTGGACATTTGTACATTGCATAATGAACATTCAGATACTAGTTTGGGTCCTGGAAGAAAAGTAGCCTTACTAATGGGGATGCCTGCCCCAGTAAATTGAGTGTCTAACTTCAGTGTATCATTATAACAATAACATTACTTAGGTTCTAGATATAGCTGGCAGATGTCATTTAGCAAAATGTAGGCATGCATTTGAATATTTGCCTATATCCTCAGTTCTTTTTCTGTTGATAGGCTTTTTCGCACCATTCTCAAACATGACAGCCCCTCCTGTCCCCCATTCCAAACCCCACCTCTGTGAAAGAAACAGCAGTTGTCACTGTGCAGTCAATATGGATTGAATACCAGTGATCTGTGGTATTCAAGAATACCCTCATTAAGGAGTCATCTTGCATGTGTTATAGAAACCTACATATATCCCACTGTTTTCATGAAGACCCCTGTGAAGGAAAAAAGTATGACACAATATTTTTTATGACTATGCATCTCCAAACAAATATACAGTTTCATATAGTTCCATGTTACATTGTGTGCCTTTGCACACTACATGTCTTCCATATTTATGGCAAAAATAGTTAAATGGATATATACAAATGCCAGAAAAAAAGAAACACTTTCTTTTTCAGTGTATACTTACCAGAGAGAGGTTTTGGTAGGTAGGAGCAGTCATGTTTCAACTTCTCTCTTCATCACAGGTAAAATGTGCAAGCTCTTTTGCCCCTGCTGCTTCCCCTTCTGACCTGAGGATGGGACACGAGTAAGAACTCCCTTGTTTGCAGTTTTCTTGTAGAGACAATGAAGGTTTCTTTTGAAACTAAAAGCTGGAAACTAGTGAATATGGGAAGGTACCAAATGATGGGAAGATCCCCTTGTAAGAATTTTGTGTAGGAAACTAGAAACTAAATTTTCCAGATTCTGAATCCAAAGCAATTTATAGATGATCACATACCTTCTACTCTTTCACAGCTCTTCTAGGTCTGTCCCACAAAAGCAGGAAACTCATTAGGAAAGAGGGCGGAGTGAGCAGTGGGGGAGTGCTCACCTGTGTTGGATCTGTTTGGTCTGTTTCACTTTAATGGGAGAAAATGCCCTGAAAAATATGTTCTCCCTGTCACATAGCAGAGGAATCTTGATCTCTGCCTCACAAAGCAAGAAGGACTGCTGCCCCAGTCCACATAGCATGGCATAAAACTATTTATGTGTTCTGTAAAATGTAAATCTATACATTTTTCTATCCGGCTTGGGTGCTGTTTGACAGATGTTGTTTTATGCCCTCTTTGATTTTACAAACAAAAGGAAAAAAGGAGGCAATGGGCAATTTTTTCACAGAGGGCTGGGTTAAAATCCTTTTTACTCCCTGGTGTATCTGGGAATGAGGAATACTGATAAGCAACAGAACAGGTACAGAATTACTTTGTGAAATCTGTTATCATCTGAACCTTTAGTGTGTGTCTGAAAATAACAATAGAATAGAAATAGAAATAGAAATAGAATTAGAATAGAATAGAATAGAATAGAATAGAATAGAATAGAATAGAATAGAATAGAATAGAATAGAATAGAATAATTTCAGTTGGAAGGGACCTACAATGATCATCGAGTCCAACTGCCTGACCCCTTCAGGACTGACTGGATAAAAGCATGTTATTAAAGGCACTGTCCAAATGTCTCTTCAACACTGACAGGCTTGGGACATCAGCCACCTCTCTAGGAAGCCTGTGCCAGTGTTTGGCCACCCTCAGTAAAGACATGTTTCCTAATGTCCAGTCTGAACCTCCCCTCGTGCAGCTTAGAACCAATCCCACTCATCCTATCACTGGGTAGCAGGCAGAAAAGATCAGCACCTCTCTGTCCGTTTCCCCCCCCTCAGGAAGCTGCAGGGAGCAATGAGGTCACCCCTCAGCCTCCTTTTCTCTAAACTAGACAAGCCCAAAGATCTTAACAGCTCCTCACAAGACATACCTTCCAGCCAGAGCTTTGTTGTCCTCCTCTGGACACGTTCAAGGACTTTCACATCCTTCTTAGATTGTGGGGCCCAGAGCTGCACATAGTACTCAAGGTGAGTCATGCTGTGTTTGATGCACCCCGGGATGGGGTTTTCCCTTTTGGCTGCTAGGGCACACTGCTGATCCACACTGAGCCTGCTGTCAACCAGCACCCCCAGATCCCTTTCTGCAGGGCTTATGTCAGTTGAAATTCAGAGTTCAGTAACTCCTGTATATTTTACCCATGGAGTTGCATGGATGACTGGACTGAATCCTTAGGAATGATTTTTGTGCATTTACAAGGATGATGCTTTGCCATGCACCTGTGAATGCATTAGTTGAACATGTTTATCAATGTGATACTGACTGCTTTGTGGATCTGAGGATACAAAGCAGGATGAACTTCTATGATCTAACCCTTGCAATAGTTTTTGAGCAACATAGTGCTTCTAAGTGAGGCCTTTTGGCATTTCTGAAGGACTTCTGAAATTTTTATCTGTCTGACATTTTGATTCTCTCCATAGTCTGGTTCAGACTGTCATTGGCTACAGTGTGTGGGGATCCATAACAAAGAAAAAATGATCACATAGCTGTATCAAGAAGTTTTTGGTGATGACAAGATTCAAAAAAACACAGAGGGGCTTGGGAAAGGCCTAAGACGTATCACTATGCAGTGTTTGTGAAAGAAGGCGTAGAAGTCTGGGAGAGAAAACAAGGACATTTATACTGCCATCTTAAACTGTCTCCCTTTCATGGGCAGTAGTGATGTTTTTTATAGAAAGCTTTCTGTTCTCTGTTGTTCAGTCATGCTGTGGCGACCAGACTTCCTTTAACAGCAGATTTCTTTAGTTAAGACAACAGATTTCCTTTTTAAAATTTTCTTTCTTACAGTATCTCACTGTTGATCTTTGTTCTTCATTCAGTCTCTAGGAAGCATTTCACCTTTCCCCCACTTCATCTCACTATCTACTCTGCCTCCTTCCCAGACTGCTACTAATTAACTTAGTACCTACAGTAAGCTCACTTATCAGCTTGGTATGCAGAAAAGCTTGCTTTATTCCCAAGGGCTTGTGACGTACATACCACGGCATGATTAATCTCCCTGTAATCACTAAGTCTGTTCTTCCCTATAACCTTGTCCTGAAGCAATTTCTGAGAGCCCGAGCAATTACTGGGGACAAAGTACTTTTGAACCACCTTTTACTGTCTTGTCTACCTCTCCTTTTGTCTCCCAGGTTCTGCTTAGTCACCTTTGTGAAATACCACTTTGATTTTTCTGTCCAGGAGAATGATTACATTGTATCTACAGAGGTCATGGGGCAGCCATGAACTATGGTTGATATGTTTCTGGTCAGTATAATGTCTGGAGCAGGAGAAAGCAAAACCACAAGGAAGTTATGCCTATGCTTGGATGCTCAAAAAATGTGTGTGACTTTGAGAAGCCCATTTGTGCTTGCCCTGCCATAGTTGAATGTTCATACATTTCTTGAGAGCTGGCAATCTCTTTTTGTCTTCCAGCTTATTCTAGTTCTTACGGGGCAGTGGTTGAAAGTTATCGTATGTGTAGTCACAGTGGCATGACTGTATTCTACCTGTATTATACCTCTATAGATCAGGGTTGAGATGTGGTCACACAAGCACTGATGTTGCAAGGAGAGCTTCTGCTGCTGCTACTAGTTCCTCAGCTGTCTCAGGGATACCTGAAAAGCATAAATCTACAGAGACTGAGTCAGTGACATTTGTTATGTTGTGCAGAACTAATGGATTTCTCTTTTCTGAAAGTGAGGAGTCACATTTAAGGTGAGAGGTGTTTCCAGGGCTGCCTGCACACCTGAAATTCCTAAGTATTTAAAATCAACAAAGCAGCGCTTCCTTTTCTTCCATGAGGAGGACAGAAAAATAACAAGTGTTTACCAAGACTGTATATGAGGTTTTTTATCTCCTCTTACAGCCTTTTAAATTCACTTATGTCACATGTTTTGCTTTTTCTCTGCAAAAAATAAAGTGAAGGCTAGAAACTTCCCCATCTTTTTATTCTGAGTTCTCCTTAGGGCAGGGACTTTAGCAGGTCCATTAGCACTGCTAAAACTTTCTGCAGCTGGTTTAGTTTAATGACAGAGTGCAATCTCATCTATATTATTTACTTTTTGTTGGAGAACTTTCTGTACTTGTGTAGAATCTCTGCACATCACTGTACTTCTACTGAAAAGTTGGACATTACTGTATATAGGATATAAATTGGCAGTATGCACTCTTTTGAAGGAATTCACCCTGGTGACTGTAATGCTACTAAATGGAATATGACAGTGACTTCTCCATCTGTGCTAATTTAGAGCTCCTAACATGGATCAGACAGAGGAGGAGAGAACTTGACTGTGACTAAAGGTGAAGAAGAAGGAGGGTAGCTAATATCCTACTGCTAGAATATGGTGAAAGAATAAAGTGGACTACTTAGTGTGGAAAGAGCAAGTGAGCAGAGTTTCAAGACAAAATGAAGGAATCAATTTAGAATAGTTAAAATACCACAGGAAGATCATTTGCTGTCATTCTAGACTGTAGTAGGTGTCTCTGGAAAGAAGAGAAAATAAGACCTGTGTACTCCAAGCTACTTTACTATAGAACAGTGTTTGCATTCCTTTTCTGCAGATGTAATTTCACCATTCCAAAACAGGAAAGTTTTCAGCCAAAGGACATGAAATGCAGTGATAAAACTTAACGTGTTATTGACACAGAGTTCCTGTTCTCTATCTTTCTCCCTGGTCCTAGCGACATATTGTTGCTGTTTATGTTGCCAAACCTAATATTCACTGAAGTCCTCCTTGACATGTTCTGAATTGCTAACAAGGCATAGAACTAACCAAGTAAAAATGAAAAAAAGTACTATTTTCTGTTGGGTTAGTAAACTAACAGTTGTGAAAACATGCAGGAAGCACCTGTATGGCTCCAAGAGAGGATGCTCAGATGTTTGTCCTCCTAGTGCTATCCAGGCCAGTGAGGTGTTTAACAAACTGGTCCACAGAATTGTTTTTCCTTAGTTGATCTGTCATTTAAATTTGATGTGGAAACACTATTTTGTGAGACATGCTGTCTGACAGTACTCCAAAAAGTTTAGGGAGCACTTCTCTGTAATAAGTAAACTTGAAGTCATAGATTCAGTTTTTACTGCAGGGCTGATAGACAGAATATATTATTTTATCAATATATGCATACCTATACTGTACAGCCCACACATGCCAATTGGAACTGTGTCCTACAGTGATATGTACTGTACAAACACAGTAGGGTATATATTTAGCCATTCACACAAGCACGTTCCCCACACTCTTCATTAATAGATTTTCTGGGTATTTAGAGTTAGTGTATGGTTCCTAAGTGGCAGACATTTTCTTGCTGAATATCATGAAGTGATTCTTTTTAAGATGTTATATATGCCAGGTATTTGTCAAAGCAAGTATCGGCTGTTCTCTGTTGTTGTACATACTTACACTACTAGATCATCCTTATTCTTTATGTGTCCTTATTGGTTAACAAATAAATGATCCAATATTTTGTCTCCTAATGCTCTGCATAAACTGTCTTTGCCACTTTCCAGGTGGCCTATCATTGTGGAATAATTGGTAGGTGCTTTTTGATTAAGTTCTCTTGAGGAATTGATTGTGAACCGTCTGCATATTGTTTGTTTACTGTACCAATTCAAGTTAAGTAACAATGTCCTCCCCTTCCCATAATTAAAGAACGGCACTGTCTTGCATGCTTTTCTTCTACGGAGGAATGTAAGTCCTGTTGGGTTTCCCTAACATTTTCAGGGCACGGTAGTTTGCGGATGCTCCCTTTCCCCCATCCGCGTGCGCACCGCAGAGGATCGTGCAGTCCACACTAATAAGCAGCCGCTCCTGCTTTTGAAGGGGACGCGGCATCTTTCTCATTCCTTGGGATCCCGCCAAAAAGAGGGGACTCCTGCCAGAAGAGGTGGGTCTGGGCTGACGGTGGCCTGACAGGGGTCGATGACAGGGGCAGCTGCTTGCCGCCCCTTGTAATGCAGGCTGCTTTAACCCCTTCTGATCCCTTCAGAGTGTCAGGGTGGAAGGAGAAGTTTGTGGGGAATAATGCCAGCAGGTTCAGATTATCTGGACAGAGAGAAACTGAGAGCGGCTTCATCCCAAATTCTGCAGAATAAACTTACTTGTCCAAATGCCCTTCCATCCAGGCATCTCCCTGTTGTCTTCACCTGCACTGCATCCCTCCAGATCTGACCTCTCTTCCTTCCCATCCTGTGTATCTCTGTAGCAGTCCCAGTGCCAGTTTGGAGACTTGTGGCTACGTACATAGCACAAAAACTTTGCATATGCACCCTGTCCTTCTGTTTGGATTATTATTCTCTTTGAATACCATTTCATTGCTGCAAATTGTTAAACTTGTTGACTCAATACAGGCAAGGCTTCTATCTTCACCTATGTGCTCTTCAGCCTTTCCTCACTCTAAAGACTTGCCTCTCTGCTGTCAAAAAAATCTGCCCATCAGTCTGTTTTAACATGACCCTGGCAATCCTTTCCCTTCTCTGCCTTGATTTCACATGTAATTCACAGACATGATCTGGCTTTGTATATCCATATATTGCTGCTTTTGAGGGACTGGGCTGACTGGGAGTATAAAGAAAGTTTTTCTGTGTTAAAATGATTACTTAGAGCCAGTTACAAAGTTAATTGTGCAGTAAAGCCCAGGAACTAGGTCCTGTCTCTTAAGCATGATTATTATATAGATAACACACTACTGTTTGCAAAATATGGGCTTATTAGAGTGCCTTCCTCTGTTAGAGCTGCCTTCACATCTCATGTTTTCCATCTGCCTGAGTTATCCTCTTGTTGAGCACTTGCAGTATACTTCCAGGGCAAGACTTGCTGGATACTACAAACTCTGATTTTCAGAGTGCTCTCACATATGCCATGAAAATTTTTACCTGCTGAATGATTAGAAGACTTGATGACTTCTGGGTGGAAGCTGGTGGTGAAGAATTTCAACATGGTTATGAGCTGATACACTGCAGAACTTGGAAGCTCTTGCATTTCATACTGAAATGATGAAAGTCAAGCTTTGGAACATTCCATGCCACAGGTGTTCTAACATGCAGTGAGTAAAATCATAGAATAAATTAGGATGGAAAGGTCTCATTTAGGTCAACCACCCTGGACAAAATTGACAACTTCAAAGCTAGAAGAGGTTGCTCAGGGCCTTGACCATACATTTTCTGAAGATCTTCAAGAATGGAGATTACTCAGCCTCTATTGGCACTTATTCCTGTACTGAACCACCCTCATAGGAGGAACCAATTTTTCCATACATATAGTTGAAATTTTCCTTGGTGCAACCTGACTGTTACCTCTTGTCTTTCTGATGTGCACATATGTGAGAACCTAGAAGTCACTTCTGCGGAAGAGCTGCTTCCTCTTTTCTGAATCGTGGCTATTCCAGTCACCTCTGAAATTAAGAAGTAATTCCATAATTTCCATCCAAATGAATTTTCCTTGTTGACAAACATCCAGAGTTCTACTGCCAAAATCTCCCCCAATTCATACAGTACTGACAGTCAGATAAAATAATAAATATTTCCCATATCATTAAGTTCTACTAGCAGGCAACTTTCCTCAAAGCTTGAAAATAAACTGAGTTGTTATCTAGAGGCTCTTCCAGGAGATTGATGATGCAGTTTCATAGGCCAATTTAAAACACTGTTGCTTGCAAAAAAAGGAGTCCTGCCATATTCCATTTCCATCCCTGGCCACTTATTCCAGTCCCCTTCACTGCACCAGCACTAGCATTCAGGATGTTGCCCAGATCAGCTGGCTGATCTGAGTGGAACTGTCCTCATGTCAGAGTGGTACAAAGGCGTCTCAAGCTGTTTCTGCAGCTGTATTAATGGGCTCTGAGCTGTTTCCTTCTCCTGGCCCTGAGTGACAGTGAGGGTTAGTCTCTTTGTGCCAGTTTATTCGTATATGGAATAGCGGTAATAATGGGAACCAAAATCAGTAACATGGCAAGTTCTTAAAATAAAGGTGGCAAGGAAATGTGAAATGTTAGTACTTATATGGGAACAATTTCTTCTAGATTCTTTATAGACGTATGTGAAGACCCAGTCAGTTCATAATCTAAGGGTGATTTAAATGCTTGTAGAAATGTCAGGATGTTATAATTTTATTAATCAAGTTATGGATAATACTAATTTAAAACTGTAAGATGCCATAATAGTCATACAGTAAGTTCAGTATAATATTCAGAATAAAATGCATAAATTTATGCTTCTATATCTGTAGGGTAGCTATACAGGTATTGATATCTGCTGTTTATTGAAAAGCCAAACATGACTGCTTTTCTAATATTTACAATGCTGGTTTTCTTAGTTTTGTTGAGTTTTACTATACTTCGTTCTTAACTTACTTTTCTGGAAACAAAATAGATTTCAGACAGTCTGCGTGGGTGTGTCTGTACACCATTATCCTTTAGCAAACTTTGCAATAGTTACCTTCTTTCAAAATTAGGGGATCGAGGTCTCAAACATAATTTGTTAATTTGATAATTTTATCAAAAATATATTTTATAAAATTATGTCTTTTATAATTATCTCAAAGATAATTTGTTCTCTCATCTCAGAGAAAAGTTTCCTATAAACTTAATTAAAATGGTCAACCAGGAAAAAAAAATTCCCATAAATGTCCCAAAAGAGGGAAAGGTTGCAAAGTGAGCCTCATCAAAGATTCAGCACAAGAGAAAGGTCTTGTAAGTGCTCCAGCATATTCAGTCAGAGTTCTTAGACCTGGAACAACTATACAAATCCGTGGGAAATTTGTTGTTGTTCCACCTATAGAACTTGCTGGTTCCCATGCTTATGTGAAAACAAAAAGGTGCTGACTTTTTCCTTATAAATACTTCTTCATAAATCTTTCTAAAATAAAGCATTTCCACCCTGCATAATTGTATAGAAAAACTTGACAAAGCCCAATGCATGAAGTTTTGAAAATAAGAACATAATTAAAAACAATTTTATATACAGAAAATCTCAATGCCCTCTTAAAAAGTGTTGCCAGTTTTCAGGAGTCCTAGTCACAACTGAGGTTTCAATACCAACAATTATTACACAACAATAAGGCACTTAATTTTTAATGTAAACTCTTTATTAATTCTGGTAAAATTCTTGCAGATATTTTTTCAAAATATGGGAAGAGCTAAATAGGGCAGAAAAGCCAATCATGACCTACTGTCTGGGCACCTTTGCTTTTTTTTTTTTTTTTTTTTGTCTCTGCAGTGCCTCTGCCCTGGCTATGGTCATGTGAAGAATGAACAGAAGAAACTACTGTGATGTTTGAGATGAACTAGTAGAAAGTCCTCCCAGCAGACTGATGGTACCAGAATGAGTCAGACAGAGTTAATCCAGTGTCAAATGGAGTGATTAATTTGTCCTGGGAATTAAACCTAATTTTGCTTTGAGACAGACCAAAGCACTCACCCACTTGTTGGTAGTAGTCCTCTATAAAGACAAAATGCTTTAAATGCCTTCACCTAGGTCTGCCAGAACTCATTTTACCATTGCCAAAGACTGGTACCATATAGGAAATTCTTTAATTATCTACAAAAAATGTGAGTGAACAATCACTGCAATCCACAGGTCAGTCTCATGACTCATGATTACCAAAAGCATTTGCAGAAAATACCATGCCATCCTGTCCCCTCAGATTATCCTCTTTCAGTGCTTTAGCTATGGGTCTAAATCAGTACTGAAGAAATTTTCAGTGTTTTCCAGTCTGCTACCTGCCATTCCTACTCTCATCTATACACATGAATCCACATGACCCAATTCACTGTCGCCAAATGACTGTCATTAAACTTGAGAGGAGTAGAACAATGTGCTTCTCTGTGGGGAAAAAAAAAAAAAAAAAACAACAAAAAACCAAAACCAAACCAAACCAAACCAAACCAAAACAAAAAAAAACAAAAACAAAAAAACCCCAAACCAACAACAAAAAAGCAACTCTTATTTTCGAAGGTCATCCTTGCAGGTCTGGGATTAGAAGTGCAGGGAACAGGATCTGGGTGGACAGAGCTGCCTGTGCTCCACCTATGGAGCTGCCGGTCTGGTCCCTTCCCTTAGGACCAATCTTCTTTGCTTGAGAGCACAGCTGTTCCACAGGCTGGCTGTTCAATCGACAATGATCTCTAGTTTCAAGTATGACAGCACCGACCTGCTCACTCTCCATTCAGCAGCCCGTGGGGGCAGCAGAAGTGAAAGGGAGGGAGGAAGAGGGAGGACACTGCAACCTACGTGAATAATTGATAGTGCAAGGAAGGGAGAGCAGCTGGGTTCCCTGTCTCTATCTGCTCACCAGCGGGGGATGAAAGATCCTTGCTCAGGTAGGGGATGAATGGCTTAGCTCCTCTTATTCTTGTTTTATCTGCAATGCCAATGAAAATATATTTTGCATCTAGGAGGAATGGTTGCAAAGATAGCTGGGGCAGGGCTGATCCAGACCTTCTCTGCTGCTTGTGTGGCATTATGTAATGGATGTGCATTGGGGCAGTTTCCTCCTCAGCAGGGAAAGTGGCTGTATGCTTTTTAAAAATCATTGTGCTATACTGCATTGTGTAGAGAAGCAGTTGGGGAGAGAGAGAAAGAGAGAGAGAGGGAGAGAGAGAGAGGGAGGAGGAGGAGGAGGTGTGGAGAGCAGATTTCTGCATAGGTAATTAGACAAACTGAAGATATGGAGGGGCATGAAAGAGGGTCTGTCCACACTCAAAGGAATCCCACCCTGATTCTGTCAACCTTTGATATAAAATGATGAGTCCAAGTAGGCAGTGGGAGGTGCTGTCTGTGCACACTTGCTGCTGTATTTAGAAGCTGTGTGCATAGATCTTTGGAAACAGTTGATGTGAAAACATGTATGTTTCTATCTGTGGGTGCATCTATGAGTTTGTGACAGCAGAGTGTAATATTACAGTAAAACATTTAAAAATAGAGTTTTTGCCCTGGAGAGTTTACTGTAGAAAGATATGTCACTGTGTTTATGTGGTACTGTGCAGCTTCTGATGTTCTTAGAATGACTCAAATAATTAATAAAATTGCAGAGATCAGTTTCTGTGTTACAGCTAATACAGACTTTTCTTATGCGAACAAGATAAAATGCTAATGCAGTTATAAGAATGAAGAAAATGTTAACAAAAACTGGGAAAATACATAAAAAAAGGTGTAGACAACAATTACTGTAATACATGTATTAACGTACCTGCAAAGATACCTGAAGGAACAGAAACTTGTGTGCTAGTCCCTAAAACACACAAGAACTATAAAATCCATGAGTGCTGCAGATATAGGCATATGTGGATTACAGTGTGGGACTATAAGTACACAGAATTAATTATGTAAGAATGCAAGTATCAGTAGGAACTGTATCTACTAAAATCTTATACTGTTGCATCGGCTGTGTAAATAGTAAAAATTGTTAGCTTGATTATAAGTTGAGGAACAGTAAGGGGAAAGGACGCCTGTGATTGGCTTATATGTGGAAGTGTTTTATTCATACGCTTATTGCTAAAGGAGGCTAATTAGAACTGTAATTAGGGTATTTAATAATTGTTTGCTGGTGGGTCTTGGGGGCTTTGTACACAGCTAGAGTTACATGGGAGGTTCGGTAAAGCTGTGAGACTGTTAAATGAAAGCTGAATCCAGTGCGGTTTTGTAAGTGAACAAAGTTGGCTCTTGTCCATAGTGGCAGGCTGATGAATAGCAGAAAGACCTGAGTCTCTCTAAGTACTTTGCTTTCACCGTGGCCAGGCTTGCTATTGCTGCCGATAATGACCCTGGGATGGGGGAGGGCAGTAGTTACTGATCCTAGCCCTCCCTAACAGCAGAAAATAATGTCTCTTCCTCCTTCCTGGATGCAGCAGAAGTGGCAAGCTTGGCTCTTTGCCTTGGCCCAGTCATATCTCTGCTCAGAGATTCAGGTGAATGAATAAGAACTGCTTGTGCAGAGAGCAGCTGCTGTATTCAGTGCCCTGAACCCATCTGGGAGGCAACCGGAGCGAGGAGGGGGCTGTATGAGTTAGCCCATAATCTAGCACCAGATCTGCTAGTGGGAAAAAAAAAAAAAAAAAAAGGTGACGAGGAAATGGAAACACCTGTTCTCCATACAAGTTCCTAAAAACAGCAAGTCCTTGTCCAATACTACTTGTCTTACCATCACTGACAACCAATAGTACAGTTTCCTTGGCTCGGCTGTCCCAGTGGTGTTCCTGTAGGCTGTGTACCATCCATGGATTTCCCAGAAAGGGGGGGAGGAAGAATCTAGGGGGAACTGATCTTCCAACAGCGGAAGAGAGTCAGAAGTCATCACCCCATCCCCCGTTGTCTCATTTTTCCCTCATCTCTCCTCCTCTTCGTCTTCCCCTGTGCCGCTGCCCGCCCCGGCCTGGCTGGGGCCCGGCCCCGGCCCTGAGGTGGCCTTTGCTGTAAGCCCGGCCTGGGGGGAAGGGGAGGCGTGAGGGCAGGAGCCCGGGGCGTGGGAGGGAGCTTGTGCCGCTCTCCTGGCGAGGCCGGAGCAGAGGAGGTTCTGGAGGAGGGAATCGGGGAGCTGACTCAGCAAAGCAGTCCAGCACGATTTCCCGGGAGTGCAGCGTCCCTGCCGGAGCCTGCGGAGGGTAGGTACTGGTGTTAGCGGTCACAACCGCGAATAGGACTTATCTACACCCAGCAGATAAGCAGGCACCTCTTTATTCCAGCGCTGGGGAACACGGGGGATAGCTCCACCACAGACGTGTTCTCCGACAGGTACAAAGCACAACATATTTATACACTTTTTCAGCAGAGTCATGGTTACGTAAGATCAACAAAATTCATAAAGTTTAGTTTGACCTTAATAATGATTGGCTTTCAGTTACCTCACCTTACCTCTATTCCTATTCTACAGAAATCATTGGTCATCTTTACTGATTGATTTGAATAGAATGGGGGGAGGGTAATGATTAGCATATTCATGTTATTTCCAGGAAATCATTACCATATGCAAATGTCTCTAACACATGCGTGGTTATGTTGGACAGGGGTCCTCTGGTGGTCGTCGATAGTCTTCCTCACTGTGTGCGCTGGTTGAACTGCATCCCTGCGCACGCTCATTTCATCTTTGGCCAATGCTCATTTCTTCTTTGGCCGATCTTCCCAACCAAAACCAGTTTCTTCTGGTACCTATTGTTTCAAATCAAGATCCATAACCAGTACCCACTGGTTTGATTCAGAGTCCATAACAATTCTTATAGTGTTCAAGGCACACGGCATACTAGCTACCTAATCCTAAGGGCCTTAGTGTGCTTTATATTCTCATAGGTGCTATAGCTTCATTTTAAATCAAAGTCATATTTTAAACTAAAATCAAAATAATATTCTAGGAGTCAAGCTATTTTATTAAGGTAACTGCAACACTGGTACCAGGCGGCCCTGCCTCATCTACATCACCTGGCTCCCTGCTTTTCCCCCCCGGCAGCCCAGGGACAGGGTAGTGGAGCGGCTGCAGGTGTTTGGGGTGAAGTGCTGGAGCGGATCCCACCCCCGGCAGTGGCCATGTTGTGAGAGCAGGGGGAAGAGACCTCACAGATCCCCTGACAGAGTGGGGAGCCGAGGAGATGGAAGGTGATGTCTGTACCCCAGCCCGGTAGGTCTGAGCCTGACTTTGCCAGCAAAGCGGCATCGCTGCGGTCCCTCCTGTTTTGGGCCCCGGCCTGGTCAGGAGGAGGTGGGTGGATGAAGCTAGTGGGTGCTCCTCTTGATGAAGGGAAAGAAAGGGCACAAGTATGCCTTGCTTGCTTTTCTCCTGCCTCCCTCAGAGTGGAAGAGTTCTCCAGTTTGCACTTCTCAGGAGGTGAGAGTGTCGTGGCGAGATTAATTTCCCTCCGGAGTTCTCCTTTCTCCAGTCCTGCAGAACTCCCTGGGTGGGGAGTGAGAGCTAGCTGGGTTCTCCAGGTGTTTTCTATACCCTGCCCACGTTTTTTGTCGGTGCAAGGAGACAGAGGAGGTCCTGAGCAGGGAGCACAGATTGCCTGCACGTCGGAGCTGCGGCTCACACGGGAGGGGCAGGAGATCCCCAGCAGCCAGGATGGAGAGTGCAGCTGGAAGTAAGAGTAAGTAGGCAGAAGTTTGTGACCAGCTGAGAACAAACCATGTCCCACCTGTAGTAGTTGCTTCCTTTTTATAGTTCTGTTTTAGTAATTCCTTCTCTTGAATTTAGGAATCCATATGTGAGCAAAATTAAAAGCTGTATAGGTGTTAGTAGAGTAAGGCTATCCGTGTCATGTTTTCAGCTGTCTTCACTGAATACCTAAAAATTGTATTTGGTAGAGCAAATATGTCCTTCTAAGGGAGAAACAAGAGAGAGAAAGAGTAGAAACTGTTGCTTAAGGGAAGTGGTTGCCCAGAATTTTCCTTATGAGCATTTCAGGCCTGATCTTGTTTCAGATTACCTTAAATTCTTCTGAATTGTGTTTTCCTTCTAGGGTGGGACTTTAAAAACATCAGTGTCTCATTGCAAGAATTGCTCGTCAGACTGGCATGCCAGTTATTATACTGACTGTCATTCCATAATTAGCTGCAAATCATGCTGTATTGTTTCTCCTGCTAGAAGGCTTCCAGATTAGCAAATGTTTTTACAATAGCTGAGGATTTGGGGCACTTGTCTCATCAGAGTGCAACAAATCCACTTTACGTCTGGAACACTTATGAAAGGTGGATGAAAGGGTGTATGAAATCTGTCAAGGCCAATTTGTGTTTTTCTCAGAACGAATGTTTGCACTGACTTCGTCGTTGGACTGGCTCAACTATAGCAGATGGGAATGATATTTAGAGCTGTATAGAGAGATCACAGGACTGAACTAGCAGAAGATACTGCAAGACAGGAATATGGGGAGTGAGCAGAGTTGTGTGTGTGGAGATAGTGGCTCAGAGGTGTGCAAAGGTGCTTCTCACACTGTTTCAGAATTGAGAGTGCAGTCCTTAGCAGTGGATCAGCAATGTCTACTTTTAGTTTGGCTACCTGCTTGAAATTAATGCACTGGTTATTGTCACTAGTAAAATCCTAGTTTAGTTTTCAGCATTTTCCAGGCCCTCTGCTTCCTTTTATTGCCATTTCCTAAAAATAAAGCTTCAGCAAGTATACATTTGCACGTACATATTACTTCAGTCTGCAGAATTGCTTTTCTTTTTCAGAAGGATGATATTCTGCTTTTCTGTGGTCAAAGGGTTTGAAGTTCCAATTTGAAAGAAGTATGTTCTCTTTCTATAAATAAATCTTAGTGATTTTTAGTCCAGAAGTTCAAAATTCACAGATGGACTTTCAAGCAGTAGTTTCAGTGGCCACAAATTTTTGTCATATTTTATAGAAGAGAACATAAAGTTTAAGTCATTCTCCTGGATTTTTAAATTCCATTAGCACATTCTTAATCTGGGATAATTACAGAATTGAGAACATCTCTAAGTGAGACCGGTGATTTTAGCATCTGCTGGAGTCGTTTTGACAACAGAACTGTACTAAGATTGAACAGTAAGGAGCAGGTGCTTCATGAAGTGCTCTGGTCAGTCTGAGGTGTAGAGATGAATTTATGCTGAGAGAACAGGGGCAAGACTGGCCACTCTGACCTTATGGAGGAGTTGCCAGACTTCCATGATGCAGGTGTGTATTCTACTCTCTCCTGAATGATTCAGGATTCAAACCAGTGACATGCCAAAGAAAAACACTGTATCATGCAACAAGGCTCCAGAGCATCCAGTTGCACAAAAGTTCTACTATTACAGTTCTCTGAAGATGGCTAGTTTCTGTAAATGAGAATTTATCAAATGAAGCTCTTACCTTTTTAGGGCTCACAGAACAGGAACTTCAGATTTCTAAAAGAAAGAAAGAAAATCTTTCATGTACTGCCTTTTGTTGGTCCCAAACATGCTTCAATTAAATAAATAAGATGATAAGTAAAGCATGTGTTCGTGTAATATTACACTTGCTATCTAACTATTCCAGTAGTTATTTGAGGATGTCAGGACTAACTACTACATATTCCCTCTCATATACATGATGGCTTAATCTTTAGATGCATTACACAGATGTCTCACATTTGAATTTTAGGAGAAAATTGTGGGATGGAAGCATTGTGTTACTTTGTGTAGATCTGCCTATGTACAAGTTACATGATGCTATTGGGCTACTAAAATAAATTGTGAATTGTCAGAGAATTGGTGGGCATAGAGATTCTTGGACCTTGTAATAGACTGTAGCTTCATGATTACAGAAATATGTTATATGTGCATGCAACAGGTAATGAAGCCACTGGTTTCAAAGCAAGAGTTGGGATGACTTACAGGTACCAACGTATTAGTGTGGAAGCAGTAGGAAGCAGGCATCTAACAGCTAGAGGATAATAATCCATGATTGCATTATATAATCACGTAACAAACATGGATTTGACAGATGGACCACTTGGTGGATGATGAATTGGCTGGATGGTCACACACAAAGAGTTGCCATCAATGGCTTGATGTGCAAGTGGAGAGCAGTGAAGAATGGCGTTTTTAGGGGTTGGCACTGGAACCAGTGATGTTTAATGTCTTGCTGGTGACGTGGACAGTGGGATTGAGTGCACCCTCAGCAAGTTTGCTGATGACACCAAGCTGTGTGGTGTGGTCAACACGCTGGAGGGCAGGAATGCCATCCAGAGGGAGCTTGACAGGCTTAATAGGTGGGCCTGGGCAAACAGGGCTCAACAGGGCCTGCACATAGGTCAAAGCAATCCCATGCACAAACACAGGCTGGGTGACGCATGGATTTAGAGCAGCCCTGTGGAGGAGGACTTAGGAGTCGTAGTGGATGGAAAACTGACTATGAGCCAGCAATGTGACCTCACAGCCCAGAAATCCAACCGTATTCTGGGCTGCATCAAGAAGAGTGTGGCTAGCAGGTCGGGGGAGGTGATTCTCCCCCTCTACTCCGTGCTCATGAGACCCCCCTGCAGTGCTGTGTCCTGCTCTGGGGCCCCCAACGTAAGGACATGGCTCTGCTCGAGTGGGTCCAGAGGACCACGAAGGGGATCAGGGGGCTAGAGCACCTTCCTTATGAGAACAGAGAGTTGGGGTTGTTCAGCCTAGAGAAGAAAAGCCTCCAGGGAGACCTTATAGCAGCCTTCCAGTACTTAAAGGTGGCCTACAGGAAAGAAGGGGAGGGACTCTTTATCAGGGAGTGTAGTGATAGGACACGGGGTAACAGTTTTAAACTGAAAGAAGGTAGATTTAGATTAGATATAAGGAGCAAATCCTTGACTGTGAGGGTGGTGAGACACTGAAGCAGGTTTCCAAGAGAATTTGTGGCTGCCCCCTCCCTGGAAATGTTCAAGGCCAGGCTGGATGAGGCTTTGAGCAACCTGATCTAGTGGAAGGTGTTGCTGCCCATGACAGAGGGGTTGGAACCAGGTAATCTTTAAGGTGCCTTCCAACCCAAACCAGTCTATGATTCTAAACATATTCATTATGCCTTACAAAGCAGATGAATCTTGTCTCTTCTATTAGAAACTTGGGCTTTGTTTCCAGCCCCACCTATGTGACCATGACTTAAACCCCAGTTGTGACTGCTACCAAAAACTGTGAATGGCATGGAAAGTTTTTTAGCTAACAGTAGGAGATCTGCAGCTAGCAGTGAGACTGTCCATAGTGCAATGGGCAATGCGATATATGTCTTTAAAACTACAGTGTATTGTAATATATTTTCAGTAGATGTGCAGACAAAAGTCCATTGAATGTGCACACTGGCTTTACTGTGCTTCCATCTCTCCTGCATGGTGTATTGGCTCTATTCTAGCACAATCTGTTATGTTCTTGTCTTGAAGACTAACACCCAGACTTTGACAACTAGGGCTGTCCTTTAAGTGCCGATTTCAGTGATATTTAAGAACTTTCAGCTCTTTTAATATAGTTCAGCTTTGGGATCTGATCCCAAAGCTTGCCATGAGACCCGTCTTTATTCTGTTTCAAATCTATGCTAGAGGAGGAACTTGGCAAAAAAGATAATTCCGCACTTACACAACAGTTCGGAGGAAAATAGTGTGTGTGAACAGAGACAGAGCAGTCTAGGCCAGAAGATTTTTGCTGTTATATCCAGGATGTTTGCAGGCAGCAAGTGGTACGTTAAGACAGCTCAGGGCCTCTCACAGGGAATGACAGCTTCCTCAGAGACAAGAAAAGGTCTCAGGAGAGGAAGAGTAAGCAGAAGACAGCAGAAGGCAAAGGAGTCAGTGCAGGCAAGCACTGACATCTTAGTTCTCTGAGTTAGAAGTTTTTATTTTTTCTTCCCCCCCCACTTCTGCCTCTGTCTCTTGCAGGAGGTCTGAGGAGGGGGTGTTATAGACTCACCCACCCAAGGCTTTCCATGTGCTCTTGTTTCTGCTGTCCCCAACAAGGTAAAGGCAGTCCATGTTCCTCTGGCTCAGGATTGGAATGTGCCTTGAACCACTGAGCAGAAGAAATGACTGAAAGCAAGCTTGTGTGCATGTATGTGTTACAGCTATAGTTGCCTACTTCTGTGAGAGTCCTACACTTGCTCATTTAATCACTTCTTGTGCTATGCTGCATCAAGTCACTAGCCTGACCCATTGAAAGAGAGAAATTCCTGAAATTCCTGATAACTGTTCAGGTTCCAGGTCAAGCTTTTACAACACAAGCTGAAGACAATTTGGCCAATTGTATTGTCTGTACTATCAGTTAAGGAAGAATGACTTGATCTTGCCTTCATCGAGCAGGTAGTTTCTGTGCCAAAACATAGAAAGAGCTGTTGGCTTCTTCAATATCTGGGTTACCACAGAAGATAATGTTAGCTTCTGCAAATATTAAATTATTTTCCCTGTTGTCTTTTCCTTTTCACAGACTCTGGACTTTTTTGAGATGATTGAAAAAATGCAGGTAAGGAGAAGTTACTCTGTCAGACTTTGGCATCTCTTGATTTTTCATAGCCAAACAAATAATCAGCTGCTATTTGTCTTGTCACTTCACTCCCAATACCCTTTAATTTGAGTTTGCAGAGTATTTCACTCTTCTAGGCCCAAGCTCCTATACCTACTCTTAAATGGTGTTTCAAGAGCATTTTCCTGTGTTCATTTTTCCAACCAGCATGATGGAAGGCATAGACTCAAATTATTATAATTTTTTCCTTTACAGAAGTGTGATTCTGAGAGAAAATCAAAGTTGCATTAAGATATCTCTGGCATCTTCTTCAAGAAACTATGTTTCTGCTTGGTAGCAGCTGCTAATGACAGGTAGTTAATGGGATGTCAACACAACTGCATTTAGCAAGGTCAAACAGTTTAATAAATAACTACCATAGGCCCTGTCTTTAACTTGCACAAGAAAGAAGGACTTTGGCTTAATCTCTTATGGGAATACGTGCATTTAGTTGCATATATAACATTATAAAGTTAAAATAGAGTAAAAGGGAAAAAAACAACCGTGCCTTACCAAATAAAGAGATAGTAATATCATAATATGTTATATGTGTGTTATATATCTAGCAACAAAATCCTTAAAGCTAAATTTTTCAGATGATCTGTTCTCAGAGTATCCTTACAGACTACCAATATTTTCTCAAGTGTTACACCTTTAAAATGCAGTGGCTAACTTTGACCTAACAACACGTACCATGGCACAGAACTCGTGCCTTTTATTATGTGCAGGAATTAAACTTATGAGAAACAATTAATGTATTTTCTGGAATTTGGGTGATCAAATTATCGGTGTGAGGAAAATGCAAAACTTTGGTGGGACTACAAAGTTGAGGAGGTGAAAGGTAGCAGCAAAACGTTGAGTATGGAGTTATGAGGCTGAAGTACTATTTGGCAGACTAGAAAGGAGAAGTGGAGGAGGGAGGGGTGTAGGTATATCTCCTATATATTCACGTGTAGACAGACACAGACCTTAAAACCAATGTACTGACACCCAAACTATGTTTGGGATATATTCTCAGTGCTTTAGAATAACAAGCTCTGTAAGCGTGCATGGGCTCATTTAACTCTGTGCTAGAATGTAAGCTTGAGCTTGCAGAACTTCTTGTTCAGTTTAGGTACATGTTACAAAGGTATGACAGTCCTTTCCAGGCCTTTTGAAATCTTTATAAGGAAGAATCACTAGCATATGTCTCTTACTGGAAGACTGTGTTGCTTAAGATTCTCGGTGTTTCTCAGCCCCCGGTTTACCATCTGAAAACTGTCTGTCACTGGATTTGGACCTTTAGTTATATAACAGAGGGAGCTGATGAGAATTTCCAACATATGCAGACCACCTAATTTTACATCTGTATTGGTTTCTTAGCTGCACATTGTTAAAACTGTGTAGTGTTGTTTGCTTTTTATTTTTTTTTTTTAATTTAGCTTGCTTTGTCACCTGACTTGCATTAGGAGAATTAATAACTGCTGCTTAAGTATCACAGCAATTTTTTGAAAGAAGGGAAGAGAGGTGTTTTCCAAAAGACCTGCCCCCCCCCATTTATTTTTATTATTTGTTGTGATCTTTCTTTATATTTTTACTAATTCTTTACTTATTCTTTTTTGTTTGTGCTTTCGCTTTCCTTCCATTTGACTCTGGCTATCCTTTAGATTCCTTGAATCATTCTTGAAATTATATCTAGATTTTCATTAGCAATCAAGTGAGTAAAAGGCAAAGCTGGAGACTTGGACATTTCTCCCATAAAATAACAACAAAGTCACAGAATATAATTAGTTTTTGAGTACTTTAACAATCAGATTGGAGTATAATTGTTTGACTGAAAATTAACATAGCCATTTCACACTATGTGTGATGAATTAACAGGTACAGTTGTGCTCTCTTTTTAAATTGAAGCCTGTCCCTAAGATCTGGGAATGAAGTTTGCCTGTCCCCCCTGTTCCCCCCCCCCCTTTTTTTTTTTAATCTTAATAATCACTCTTTGAAGTAAATGGGCTACTGGATGCATTGTTCTATGCATACAGATGTAGTGAAGTCACAGTAAATACTTTGTTATGGACACTTAGGAATACATTGTTCCTAAATGGCTCCACAGTGCATCAGTTGAAAAGCAAGCAAATCTTATTTCAGCCAGTAAACCCAGATATTTCAGGTCTTCACATACTTGCATATCCAATCCCTCTTCACTGACCTGCTTTTGTCTTTTATGGTGTGATGTTCACTATCTCTATTCTGCATTCGTACAGTTTCAACATATCTTTCAGTCTTACTTTCTCAGAACAACCTTCATATTTTTTTTCCAAGTTGTCTGTTTTGAACTAGACTCCTCAAGGCACTGCTCTTTCCCCTTAAATATGTGTTATCTTAGCACTGTTATGCCATGTTGGACCTGACTGTTAGTCTGGGCAGCTCTTCTGCTATCCATTCTTTCACCCTGCTCAGGCCAGGTCTCCCCTGTACAGGACCCTGGGAATATCAGATTCCCAGACTGATGCTGTCTCCAGTAAGCTACCCAGGGAGACAGTGAGGGAAGGTCTTTCACTAAAGTCAATGCTACAAGCCAAACTGGACCGAACCAGAAGGGTGTCTCAACAGGTGGCTGCGACTACTGTAGTTTATGCCTTTCCCTTTTGAGGAATGATAGTGATCATCAACCAGTTGTTCTGCCTGTGCTTTGACACTTCAGCAGCTTATGCTGTAAGTTCCCTGCGGTCCTGCTTACCCTCAAAAGTAAAGCTTTGGACTATACAGACCAGGCCTGCATTAGATCTTTTCCAGTATCTTAAGCTTCACTCTGGAGGAGAGGTTGGTAGATTTAGTCTTGCGTCTTCTGCTCCCAGGCTACCAGGAGCTCCTTTAACACTGCAGAGTCATGGAAAGTGCTCTCACATTCCTCCACCCTCTGTAGCAGCTCTAATACAAACAGCAGCTTCCTTACAGCAGCCTAGGATGTTTTCCCTCAGGCGTCTCTGAGGTGCTGGTCTCCTACCAGCACCTCCTTTGGAAGTGGAAACTTCTTGCAGTTATTGGATCTGCCAAAAATGCCAGGGAAGGAGAGAGATATCTTACAGAATTGCAGTTTCCCAGTATCCATTTCTGTGTTCAGAACCCTCCGGTACATACCGAGTTTGGCCCTGTACTTTCCACAGATGGTTCCAGAAGGCTGGGGATGCTTTGTACCTACATGTCCCTCCCCTCTCAGTCCTGTTTTGATAGAGCATAGGACTTTCTTGCCCCAAAGAACTGTTCCCGCGACCCCTATTCAGAACCCGGCCTTCTGCATGAGCCTGAACACACTAGGCTGACAAGTGAAACTCCAGATCACATCAACAAAACATCCATTTCCACTTTCTCATGCACTCCGCTTTCTTGGATTTATGACTTGCCCAAATGCAGAATGGTTACTACTACCTCTGTGAAAGGTAAAGATCACTCATTAGCCTTTGTTCCATCTTAATTTCACAACCCACCACATCCTGGTAATTTGTTGTTTGTTTTGTTAGTGCTGTCTACTGACATTGCAATTTGAAACAGATCTTCTAATGTTTCTCTGTGAAGAATAGTTCTAAGCTTGTTCAGGCTTCTCTGCTGAAACTACAAATAAATAAAAAAAATACTTTTTTTGATGGTAGCTCTCTCTAAGCTCAGCTTTTATAATTTGATCCTGTGTCACCCTGTAGACATTTTGGCAATCTTCTTTATCCTACTATAGTTAAGGAAAATATTTTTTTTTGCTGTTATCTGCAGATTGTTCCTTACTTGCTTTACTGTGTTTCTATATTTAACCAAATAAAATTTGTTGTTGTTGCTATTTTTTGTTTGAATTCAACTTCAGACTTAGGAAGACTGCCCTCATGCATCTACTACTACCCTCCCTTACCCTCGAGTTTAGCCATACTGGTTTACTTCTGGTGTTTCTAAGAGTTTTATGAAGGTGTTATGCATTTGTTGTAAACTCAAGGTCTGGCTCCTCATCATTTCATGAAGATTTAGCTTTTTTTGTGGCTTATTTTTAAGTTCTCTTTATAAGTGTTCTCATTTTTCTATAACCTTGTTTTTATGTGTAATGGATGTCTTTTTCTGTGTTGTTTTTTTTTTTTTTTTTTTTTTTTTACTTTTGTTGCTCCTGCAAGGAGCATCCAGATCATTATTAATCCTCGTTATAATGTTGCTGTTGCTCAGTGTTAATGTTGTTGCTGTACTTGCAGTTTTTTCACCCTATGTAGCTGGAGCATTGGCCCCAAACTTTTGCTCTTGAGCTTCTTAAATCTCCACTGTAGACCTCCACTGAGATTTACATATTTCTACCAGTTACTAGTTTACAAGCTAGTTCCACTGTAGAATTTTTGTTATAGATCAGATCCTGCTCATTTTCAGAACAAATTTGAGAGCTGCTTATCCTGTTTGGAATCCCTGATTAGCCACTCCAGTAAGCAGTCGCTGATGGTGTATAAAAATGTAGTCTCAGCATCATGTTCCGGTATGAGAGTTACAAGATTTAAGTGGCAGTAGTTAAATAGTCATGTACTGGATATAAGAGAAAGTTAGAGCTTAAATCCTATGTGACAATGCAAATTTTGCCTCTTATTCTGTCTGTATTGATGCCCACTTGGCCTATGGCTGGCATTTTATGCTGCCTGTTGGCTCCCATATCTTTTTGCCTTCTTTTGTTCTGGGCCTCTGTTCAGTCCATGCTGGGGCTGTCCTCAATAAAAGTTTCTTATTCTTGTTTGCTTCTGCTGTAGAAGTGTGGTGGAACTGAGCTACTCTTGCTATGGTGAGAAGGCAGAGGATGGAATGTCCTTAAGAAAGAGAATCAAGTCTGGATGGCAGCTGCTGATTTAGGAAAACATTAGGCATCCAGTTAGCTTTTTCCCTGTCATTCCAACCCACCTTACAGTAATGGTGCCTGGGAAAGCAGATGTGCAGGGCTTTGCTAATGTGGCTCCTTGCTGCCTGCGGGAATCTGTTGCACCAGTCAAATGTACAGATGGAGAGCAGCTCTGATTTTCTGTCTTACCTCCAAGAGGCAGGTTTGTTCCCTTATGTGGATGGAGGCGAGGCACATAATCTGCTTAATAAGAAAAAGTCTTCTTCCATACCCCTAATCCTCAAAACAAGTGTTTGTTACTTCTCTTAACCCTGCTCGGAGGTTCCCTATGCTCCGCCTAACAGTATTTTCAGGGGAGAGGGAAGAGTAAAACAGGAATGAATGGTCTGAAATACTGTTCTTTTGTTTTCTGTCTTTACTTCTTCCTTTTTTTTATTGCTTGGTATAAGAAGTAAAGTAGCTAGAAGAGATTAGGGAATTAAATAAGAGAAACCGTTCAGGAGACAGCTGGCAGAAATCAAAAGCATTCTGCTTTTTAAGATTTGCAAGATGGGGGGAAACTTGTCAGTTTAAATGCCAGACTAGGGGACTGGCCAAGTTCTAGCTTTACTCCTTCTGTTTATTCCAAACTTGCATAGAACAGAGAATTATATAGAGAGATAAAAGATGCATATTTGAGATACAGAGAAGGACACAGAGGGTAAGTGAAACAGACATGCTAAACCGTAGGATTCACTGTGTGTGATTTTGTTTCCAGGGGAGTCAACTGGATGAACAAAGATGTTGCCTTCCAGCTCCTCTCAAGGTCAGGCCACGTTGACATTGTTGTTGCCTCCTAAATTGATGAGAATGGCAGATAATTACCAACCTGACTTCCAGTGTATTTTCATCTTAGAGTGAACAGGGTGCCTGCAAACAGCCCAAGAACACATAGATACTTGCCTTCTTTTTTTTTTTTTTTAATGTTGCTGCACAAGAGGGTGAAACTATGTAGCTGAAATAGAATCAGTACTTTCCTTTTAAAAACCTAAATTGTTATTATTACTAACAATCTTAGTTTTGACTAAGTAATTTAATACATTTTATTCAATGTAAGAGCTATAATATTTGTGAAGCCGTATTGCATTTATTTCAGTAGGCTGCTTGAGGACTCATATAGATGCTACTAGAAAGCTGGTCTGTTTCCCTCAGTATTAGGTCAATAAGAACAGATGCCCATCTTTAAATTCTGAACTCTTTCTCTCTGTTCCTTCAGTCTCAGCTCAGGCACAGTAACTTTAAAATCAACCTTGACCTTGAATTTAATCTTGGAATGATCTCTAAAAAAAAAAAAAAAAAAAAAAAAACACAGAGAGAATTGGTATAGCTCAATTATGACAGAGATAGTCAGTGATGGAAGGGTCATCCAACCGGCATAAAGTGGCTCAGATACTGCTCCTATTCTTGAAATAATGCCTCAGCACTGCTCAGCTGTATACTACAGGTCTACCTATGGAGATGATACAACCTTGATCTCAATGTAAATAACAGTACTATTTCTATCATCCCTACTGTCAACTCTATCTGCAGAGGAACAGCAGCTGTCTGTAACACTGTGTGGAAGGAAAGGAGAGAGGCTGTCACTCCTAACCTCATCCAATTTGCCTATAGTTTGGCTATCTCCTCATTTTGCATGCCTGTATTCTGTGTAGTTTCAGGGGGGAAGGTGGGTGAAATCTGACTCCTAAATTTATTGTTCTCAAAGTTCTGTATTATAATACTGAGACCTGGGAAATAGAGTCTAACTTTAAATCCTAAATTAAAGCTCTAAAGATGGATTAGGGCAAAGTGGAAGCTGAGGGCACAGTTTATGCCATCATGAGAGTGTAGCACTTGTAAAAATGCATGACATCTTTTATAATGATCTCTTCTGATTTCAGACAGAAGAGGAGTATATTCCTTATCCCAGCATCCATGAGGTGAGTTAGTACTGCTGTCCTCTGTTTTTCTTTGGACTTCAGTGGCCTTTCAGCTTAGTGGCCTTTCAGCTTTCTTGTTCTCTGTCCTTCTGAATAGGTATTACAGAAAGGATGGCCATATCCTCTCATTATCTTGCCCCAGTTTGGGGGCTACTGGATCGAAGGGACCAGCCACAACCACTCCAGCTTGAGTCCAGCTCTGTCTGATGTACCTTTTCCCTGGAGTGGTAAAGTGAAACTGGAAAGTGATCCTACAGCCAAACTGTACCGCAGACATTTTCTGGGGAAGGTAAGGGTGACTTTCAGAGACTTCTCTGCCCACCCAGCCTCAAGGCTGAAATGTATCCCAGGCTTTTTCTGATGGACTTAAAAATAACTGCACAGCCGCTTCATTTCAACTCCTCATGATGCCTTGAACTAATGTAAATAAGGTACATACTACCAAATGGCCCATAATGTGTTAAGTTGGTCTTGTCCCCTTGTGATCTGTTCATTAACAGAAGAGAAAGGTTCGCCCAGAAATGCTTATGTTTGGTTAAGAAGCTCTTTAGAGGCTCCTGGGCAGGTATCAACCTTGGGATAACAAGGGGAAAAAACATAATAATATTGGAAATTAAGATGGTAGTATTTTTAGAGGGGACTTCAGCACTGACTGTGCAAGCCCCTCACTAGTAAGTAAAGTGGTCATTTTTCCTTGATGTAAATAAGTAGCAAGTATGGTCATCACAGAATATGCATGAAGAAACTGGACAATGTGTTTTGCAGTTGTTTAAGTAAGTTTGGTGCTAAGTATTCTCTGACTTTAAAAATTCCAGTCTGACAGATAGGAAAACAGAGCTTGGCCTCATAAAGTAGATGTTTTTGCTGTCTGGTGATTAAATCCCACCTGATTTGGCCTCTTTAGGGACTCGATTGATTCCCAGACTGCATCTCAGGATAATATTAACCATCAAGAACAAGTGAGAACAAACCCATTATCTTTTCTGAAATTCAGTTCATGGCAAAAGGAGATAAGAAAGCCTGACAGGTATACTCATGCTGCGTCTTATTCAGGGGTCTCCCACCATGATTGCTTAATAATTTCAAAACCAGGAAGAGGTGGAGCTTTGTGCAGTGCTGGGGACCTGTTTTGCAGTTGTTGGGCTTGTCTGAATGATCTTGTGTAGTATGCAACACTGGAAACTGATATTAATATCTTTTATATGTAAAGTACCCATCCTGGCTTCATCTCTAGACTGACAGGTCTGTTGTACAATCTGTTAGTGAACGTTTATTCTGTGACATTCTGGAAGCTTTCAGTATGCCAACCGTAATTATTTTGCTGTCATGGTAAACTTAGGGTTGTGCTTGAAGGTTTCCAGAGCCAGCTAGGATGAAAAGCAAGTTGGGATACAATTTTTTTCAGTCCAAATGTAGGATTCATTGCTGACCTGATATCACAGAATGGTTGAAGTTGGAAGGGACCTCTGGAACTCATCTTGTCCATATTCCTGCTCAAGCAGGACCATATCATCATTGTTCCTTCCAAGTGGGATTCAGGAGTTTCCGTATCATTGGACTCCATGCCTTTGCAAAGTGTCCAACCCCCAGTACTTCAATACTAAAGAAAACTCCTCTCTTCTATAGCCTTCCTTTTCTGTAGTGTCCAGTGTTTTATTGTTTGTCTTAATTGACATGAATGTGTGTCTCTCTTCAATTAAACATGCAAGTTTTTGAGCAAGCCAGTGCCAGAAAAGAACAAGGTGAACAGGACTCTTGTCACAAAAACTCTACTGATGGGTAGAAAATGTTAGTCATGTCTTTACCCATGCCTTACAGGCTTAAGTAAGAAGAAAGCTCAGAGCTTTTCTCCAAGGAGAGTATTTCTTCAGTGCAAAGGTTAGAGAGACCAGATATTTTGATGCCGTGTGGATTGGGTCCTTTTCTTGCTGATAACATGGGAGGATTATTTCAGAAAGGCAAAGAAAGGTCTCTTGCATGCTTTGAATAACTGTGAACAATTCTTAGCTGAAGAAGAGTCCATAAACATTATGTGATGGGAGAGACATAGACAGTGGCTTAGGGAATATCCTTTAAGCAAGATGAGAGGTTAGAGTATGTGTGATATTACAAGCTTAATATGCAAACTTAATATGTCTGTGTTGTGGGTGTGCATATACTAGGTCACTCAAACTTGGAAAATTCTTTAGATTTTTTGCAGAATACCTTATAGTGAATGCTATAAAAAAAACTCACAAAAAGAAGTGCTATGACATAAAAGATGTAGCTCAGTCCATTTCTTTGTCTCATGGTCTATATTTTATATGAAGATTACACAATAAGATTCATCTTGCCTTTAGGAAGAAGGCTGCAAAACCTTCTGTCTTATACTGTGGGAATTATTAAATGTGTATGTTGTTTTTCAAGACTACTATATAGAGAAGTAGCTTGAAGTCAGGAAAGATTTAATAAAGGTATACATTGGAAATGCCAGTCAAAGAATCTTAGGGTGCAGTTTCACAAGTACTTGAAGTTGGCAGTGCTGATGAGAGAAGCTTTCTTGCTGTATATTCATACGTGGTCATGTATTTCTCCATTATGCTGTCCTTTCTTTGTTCTGGTTAAAGTATTGCTGCTGCAGTGCTGTGAACTGTTGGGGAATTGGTTCAGTGGAGTCCTCTCAGCAGAAAGAACTACGTCTTAAATTATGAGTGTGAAATTCTAGCTTAACCTAGTACAAAGAGGTGGAAACTATTTGAAGCTCTCAAAGGACATTTTTATTATTAGATATAACTGTAATGATCTCTTGTTATTTTAAAGTCTCTCTAATTTTGTTTCATTACTACAAGTCTGCTTTTAGTAAACATGTTCTCTGACTTGCTGAGACTGTAGGCCTTCTCATATTTAGGATCATTTTACTCTGGTATGCAAATACATGTGTTTTGGAGCTTGGTACTGTTTTTCTGTCATGACAAGCTGACATAGCCCAAGATCTATTTATTTATTTATTTATTTTTCCTCAGTTTTCTCCAAGCAAAATGCAGGGAGGGCCTGCAAGGATCAGCCTTATTATTTCATTACAAACCCAGGCTTAGTGGTTTTGTGTTCTGCAGTTGTCAACAATGGCAGTATCTTCTATGTCCTTGTTGTCTTCTGACTGGCAAACATCTTACACTTTTCCAGCAAGAAGGCTTGCTGGAATAACTATGCTGACTAATGAGTACTGTAAGTTTCTTAGTTATCTATCACTGTTGATAGATTTGAATGTTCAGGTATCATTATCTTACATAATTATTTGGCCACCAAATCTGCTTTTCTTCCTTCTTTGGGGATGAATCATCTCAGTATTTTACCAGGTGACAAGAAGTTGCCAAGTTTTTTCAAAGTTAATTGGTTTTGTTGGTTGGTTGGTTGGTTGGTTTTGTGTTTTCTGGTGGTTTTTTTTTGGTTTTGTTTTTTTTTTTTTTTTTTTTTTTATTATTTTCAGTTGTCTTGAAGGAAGAGAATGGGCTAATGAACCCATTTTGAATCCTGTGAAGATCTTTTAGTATTCTCTGGCTTCTTATGCTCCGATTGCTGAAAGAACTGATGTAACATACCAGCTCCCATGGGGAAGATCTCTTTTACCTTTGTCTGTTTTGTTCATCTTTGGTGCAATTGCAGCTACTGAGTAGTGAAAAAATAATTCTAATTCATCAAAAAGAAACTAAGCTGCAAAGAACATGGCAGCTGTCTTAATAGCTTTATAACTTCTCAGGTAAACTGTCGGTACTCCTTGTGTATTCTGTTAGTCTTTTCCCTTGGTCCCAGGGAAGACAATTAAGTGCTTTTACAGAGATACATTTGAAATCCAGAACTTCCTTTCAGACTGCCTTAAATATTACAGAAACTGCTACTATGGCTGAAAATTTTGTACCTATACATAGGTCACCTCAGCTCCAGCATATCTTGTCGCTGCTGAGTTGCACTCTTCAGTATTAACCATAAAACCTTCTGGTGGTTCATCTCTAATGTCAGGACAGCTAATGATGAATGCTATTATACAATGAAGGACTCTGAGTCTGCCTTCTGTTGCCTATGTTTTTACAGAGAAAGAAAATCACAGAGGAAAATAAAAAGTCGTAACGAGGAAATTACAGTTTTGTTCATGCATACGATTACTCAGATTTCAGTTTAAAACCCAGGCTGATATTCAGGATCAAGCTAGGTGGCCAGAGTAACTTTGACAAAAATTAAATTATTTTAAGACCTCCACTAATCCTGATGCCTGGTTCCCTGTGAAGATTGCACCCCTTTGTGCAGCTCTGCCCGGTTATGCTGGCTGCAGACCTGGTAGGCCAGTCTCCAAAGCAACTGAGATCTCAATGTGTCAGTCCTGCTGGGGTCTGGCTTAAAAGTCTCACCAAAAGGTGTCCTATTTTCTGGTCTTTGCAGCTCAATGTTACTTTTGGCTGCAGCTAACCGCAGGCTTTGGCTCCTATTCCTTTGTTTTGCCTTCTAGTCCTGACTTTTGTTGGCATTGTGCCATCTTTTTCTTGGGCATCTTTTGCCTGTCTTGAGCATCCACCCTAGCATATGACTTATTGGATTTGTGGACTTCTTTTGATTCTAGACTTCAACTGACCATTGAGCATGCTCTTGTTTTGCGTCTTGAATCTGTCTGTTCCTCAGCTGCTCTGTCTTTCTGTCCTTGGTCACAATGATTACTGTACCTGATTCTTGTTCACATCCCAAAAATCTATTACTATCCTAAAAGTCATGGTCAGGAGAAATAACCTGTCCTTTCAGCCTTTGTGGCTTTCTTTGATTTCAGCTTTTCTTCCCATGTACAGATAAGTTCAGTCACTACCATTGACTTGTGTGACAGATCACACTGGACTCCTGTGAACTGAACACTGCAGCTAGAGGCCACGTTATTCTGTTTGCCTGTTTGTTGCTTTTTACTTATACCTTATCTTTTTCAAGACCCATTCATTTGGTCTGCTTCAGCAGAAGGTAGACTATACTAGCACCAGAAGCCATGAAACTTCTTCTTCATATGTCAGTAGCAGGGAAGTTGTGAATATTGGTTTTGGGGTTTTTTTGTGTTTTTTTGTTTGTTTTGTTTTTTTTTTTTTTTTTTTTTTTTTTCTCTGTCTCAAAGAGGAAGTGAGGACAATATGTCTAATACTTAAAGAAGTTCAATAACTTCATCTTCACATCCAGGTTCAGAGTAGTGACTGAAGTCTTAGTTATTATTTTTTTTTTCTTCTATCAAAGAGGGGATTGATTTATGTCTGTTGATTTCAAGATGCCTACGTCCATATGGATATCAGAGTATTTCACTAGATGTGTCTTTATTTCACAGTGAGTCAGAGCTATGACTAACACAAAAAATTGTTCAGAATTTTCCACAGTGAAAGGCAATCTCACCAGTGTGTTGAGAAATGTTGCAATCTACCAGAGACAGAACAGACCTTAGGTATTTTCTAGGCAAATGGCTGCGGAAGGAACTGTCAGACTGGCAACTCTTTTTTTATCAACTTACACACTTTCCTTCCATTGAGTCCTTATTATTAACTTATTATATCCAGAGTATTCCTTTTACAGAATACATTTGAAATCATGTAAGTTGTACAACTGAACACTTAACTTACTGTCCCAGTGCCTAATACTTTTGTGTCATGCACGAGGATGCATTTATAGAGTGCTTCCTGTGATGCTCCCTCTGCATCCTGCAATCCTGGTTACTGACTTCATGCTCCCTGGCCATCTTCTCAGGTTGCAAGTGACTGTCTTTGATTTGAGATGACTGCTATTCTGGTGGTAGAACAGCCTATTATTTGCAGGGGAACACTGTTTTATCTCTCTCCTCCATTTAATTTGACCACGACAAACACTTTGCATTTAGGCTGAGGAGATCTACAACCAAACAGCATAAAACCCCTGGTGTACATCAGAACAGAATCTCTACACACTAAAATGTATGCAGAGTAATTTGACTATATCTTTCAAGTAAATTGGTGATGGGCAACACTACCATTAGAAAATATATCAACAAACAAGATAGAAGTTGGTACCCCTTCTGTGAAACAGATGACAAGTGGAATTTTGAGAATCAAGCTCCCCATTAATGTCTGTGCCTTTTAATCTCCTGGGAGTGTCTGACTTCTCAGTGAGTGGACAGACCTTCTTTTTCCTACAGAACAAGTGGGAAATCCAGATGGATATCTTGAGGTACATCATCTGGCTGGGATTTGGAAAATCCCAAGATTTGTCTATGAAAGATACCAGAAGAAAGTGTTGATTTTTTTACTGTTGCCTAAACTGTTGTGCACTGAAGATCTCTGTGGATACATTCCTGATACCACTGTCAGCAGATTGCTATATGACTTCCTCCTGATTTTCATGGTCCCAAGGCATAAGGAGGCACTGATTATTCTGTCTGCTATAGGGTAGCTGAGACAATTTTGATTTGGGGATTATTTGTTTTGTTTTATTTATTATTATTTTGTTTTGCTGAGAAGGAGTCTTAACCGAACTTCCATCTTTGCTAGCTCAGAAGTACCATACAAATCTTACTATGTTCTCCTGGGTTGGAGGATAAATAGTGGGATGTATTACTGCCCCTTTCAACAGAAATTCTCATTAGCATCAAGAGATTAAGATCTAATCAAATCTAATCCAAGGAAAATTAGATTCCCTGCATGACATTATCATTGGTGTCTCTGTCCTGCTTATACCTCATCCAATAATTTCAGACTGTTTGCTGAAAGCGTGAGTTGAGTCTCAGTTCTCTGGTCAGGGTTTATGTAGCAGCCAGCTCCAAAAACTGGCCATAAAGTGGTTTTCCACCAGGAAGATGGGAACAATCTAAGCGTTTCTGGATGATTCCGCTTATATAGTATTCTCATTGTGCTAGAGTTTTTCATTCACATCCCTTGTCAGAAGACTTTAACCTTTTGAGGTTAGAGGTTATGTATATCAATATATATGTTTTAGATATATCTATATCTATCTATATATATATATCTATACCCAGGCCATTGGAACATGGCTGTATACCCAGGAGAAATGTATGGCCACAGCCACCTCTATATAGAGCCTATGAAAATATTTGCATTATGGTTCACTGTTTGCCTGAATGACTCTGAGTTACACTCCACTAAAGCTCAAGCAGTGTTAGTGGCACTGCAGAGAGCAGTCTTCATCTGCAGAGTAGTTACCTGGAGCTCTAACTGTGTCCTCCCTGAGATATGAGTACTCTTATAGATTAACCATTTGGTATAATGATCCTGTCGTTACTGTCTGTGTAGAAAATTCGAGTTGAATGTGCTGGAGACCACTGCTTAGCCATTCAGAATGGATACAGGAGGAAGTCCATGTTTATTTACAAAATTTATTTACAAGAAACTCCATTTCTTCAAAACGTGTTGCTGAATGTTCTCATCGTATTCCTTCTCAGGAGCCCTTCTGATGATGGACAGCTGAGGAGGAACTGAACTGACGGTGGATGAACTTTGACTGATATGCTCATGCATTGATCATCAAGGGGGCTGGGAGACAGCATATACATATCTTCAAGCATGTCTTTGCTAATTAAAGAAAAAAATTGGCTAATACTAAGTGACAGGTTGCATGCAAAAACTCTAGTAAACTTCTTCAGGAAGCATGTTGAGAGTAATGCATTTTGTTGTCTTGTTTTCAGGAGCACCAGAACTTTTATTCTAGTGACATGTCCTTGGGCTACCTGGTACTTTCTGTGAAGTATGAACAGATCGAGAAACAGGAAAATCTACGCCTGTTGCTGAGGTAACAGTGCCTGCTGTTGGAGTGTATGTTACTGTCTGTCATGGTTTGAGTCCAGAGGGCAACCGAGCACCACACAGCCGCTCACTCACCCCTTCCCCCTCAGGATTGGGAAGGACAAAACAAAACAAAAGGCTTGGGAATCAGGATAAGGACAGAGAGAGATGACTCATCCATTATGGTCACAAGCAAAAGAAGAAAAAAGAACATCACTTTAATTCAAACACTAACAACAACACTTAACAAACAGAGTAGGACAGTGAGAAGCATTGCCACATCTTAAAAACAACTTCCCCCAGCAATCTTCCTTTCTTCTGGGGCTCAGCTTTGCTCCCAATTTCTCTACCTCCTCCCTGCCAGCGGCGCAGTGTGGCAGGGGATTGGGGGGTGTGGTCAGTCCTCTCATTCTTTCCCTGCTCCATCGTGGTCCCCCTCTCACAAGGAGACAGTCCTTCACAAACTTTCTCTGACGTGAGTCCTTCCCACAGGCCACAGCTTTTCCAGTGCTGATCCAGCGTGCATTCCTCCTGTGTGTTGCCGTCCTCCCAGTGCAGAACTACAACAGACAGGGGGGCTGCTTTTTCCCACAGAGTCCTGGCCTTCTTTGGGTGTAGCCACCTGCTCTGGTGTAGGGTCCTCCACAGGCTGCACATTGGCATCTGTTCCACTGGTAACTACCATGGGCTGCAAGAGGAAACTAGTTTTTTTTGGTAGACAAATCTTGGGGTTTTCCAAATCCCAGATGATGTACCTCAAGATATCCAACTAAATTTCCCACTTGTTCTGTAGGAAAAAGAAGCTCTATCCACTCGCTGAGAAGTCAGCCTTCCCTCTCACCATGGGCTGCAGGGGAATCTCTGCTGTGGCACACCTCCCCTCCTTCCTCCTCCTTTCTTCCACTGAGCTTGGTGTTTGCATAGATGTCCTCCTCAACTCCAACTCCTCCTCCTTGGTTCCCCTTCTTAAATACGTTATAACAAAGGCATGGCCACCATCACTAATTGGCTTGGCCTTGGCCAGAGGTGAGTCTAACTTGGAGCCGGGGGAGCTTCGAGAAGTTTCTCACAGGGGCCCTCCCGTGCTATCAAAAAACCCCACCACACACACAAACCCAGCAGCATACTGTGTTGCGTCTCTCATCTTACCTTGAGTTTCATCTGTAGAGATATGAGAATGAATCTCATCTCTTTCTCCTTCAAAGGACTGCAAAGAAACCTTTAAGCCTTCTTTTCTTGCCTTCCCCTCTGAGTTTCTCTCAGCAGTTTCATTCAGGAAGCTGAAGTGGTGTTTGCAGGTGCATCTTTATAGTTCCTGCATGAAAAACATCTGTTCTTATCTGAAAAAGAAAGTTTTTCTGTTTATTCTGTTTACTTAGAGACATGTGAGTACTCTCTAGGACAATATGGTTTTCCTGATGGAAGGCAGCCTAAACCAAGCCTGTTTTTGGACTTTGTACTTCAGATTAAGACTTCCTTGAAGGTGAGCTAGAACATTCTTTAGCTTCCCAGGAAAGCCTATGAAATGCCATAAACTTTAGGACTTCCACAGAGAGCCATTACCCAGAGAGAGCTGCTGAATGAACTAGAGGAAGATCAAAGCTGGATCTTGCATAGGTGAGAGGCATACTACAGAAATGATTTTTACCACACTATGATCTGGATGCACTTCCAGTAGGCAATATGCTACAGGAACCAACTGACGTACAGTTGGTGCTGACAAGGGCTCATCCAGGACTGAGGGAAAATACTGTTTGCGTAGGAGTCAGCCACAAGAGAATCACTGGTGGGTTTCCATCACTGTATGCAGAGAACAGTTCAGAGTGCCAGGTGAAGCAATAACCTGGGGAGAAAAAAGGAGGGAGGCTCTTTGTGAGCTATGCCAGGGAATCTGAGCCCCGAAACCTTCCTACATGGAAGTGAACAAAAGGGTAGTAATTTCTCTATTAAGATACCATATTATATGCAGCACATTTTGCTCAATAGATTGTTTATAATGGTTTGAAGAGGACTCTGAGAGCCCAGTATTTCCTCTCCCTTAGAAATACATCTCTCCTTTAATATGCATATATAGGGAAAGGAAGATTTTTTCCATCAGCTTTCTGGAGCAATGCTACACCGGCTTCTACCTTCTATACTTTGTGTAGATCTGCTTTCCTAGATTGTCTCTAACTGACCATTTGACAGTCTTTCAAACCCTCATTGTATGATTTTGTGAATCCTTTATAATACTGTGTCCATGAATTGTATTTCAACATTTAGATTTCTGTGAAAGAAAAAGGGGGGCTGGAGGAAGCAAAATATTTCTTCAAGCAAGAAAAGAATGCAAAGGAGCAAGAGACTAAGCATCTCTGTTTTGTCTTCCTCTGCTCCCCGCAAGAAGTGATGAGCAGTAAGAAATGTACATGCCTACCTTTTCAAGATTTTATGCACAAGCTTAAAATTAATCCTCTGGAATTAACTGCTTTAAAGATAGCCTGAAGGAATAGCTACTCTTCCTTTAAGGAGCCAGTGTTGCTTGTGTCTCCATTCAACCTTTGTTCTGATGCCTTTTTTGTGTTGTGTCAGGACTCGGACTGGCACCAAACATGACCTGATCCCCATTTCCTGTCTGAATGAGTTTCCCAACGCTGTCCAGATGGCAAAGGTAAGATTCGTGCTTGCCTGTTCACTCTTAATGCCTCATTCTTCAAGTTATTTTCACCTCTGTCCTCCCATTTCTCTCTTTTCTGCTATTCCCCAATAGTACTGAGGTAATTTTACCTAAGTATTTTTGCCTGAAGGGGTTCCTGTCAGGTATTTTTAAACAGCGTCTATGCTCTCATGCCCACAGCAAGCTAGGACACATAATAATCGCACTTCTGTTTCCCTCTCTCTCACTTGACAGCTACTGTGTGAGGAAGTGAATGTTGAACGCTTCTTTCCTGTCCTGTATCCCAAGGTATAATGTTCTGATATATCTGTATGCTCCTCTTCCATCAAGGTTTGGCTAATGATGTCCAACTGATCATTTGTATTTTCATTACCTCAGGCTTCACAGCTTATTGTTGCGTTTGATGAACATGTCATAAGCAATAACTTTAAATTTGGGGTCATCTACCAGAAACCTGGACAGGTAAGCTCCCTCAGATCCCATGATGTTTGAGGCAAAACACAAAGAGTCAGTTCCCTTAGATTAAATGTAATAACAAGCTCTACACTGTTCTGTGAAAAATACAGATGTCATGAGGAGAATGGATAGAAGCTTGCCATATGTTAATTGATTTGTTTGTGCAGGTCCTCAAAGCTAGTTGAGCTGTATATAGAAATTACTGCCTGTTCTTTGTACTGCTTGTGCTTCTTATGACTTCTCCTTTCCTTTTGAAGACAACTGAAGAAGAAGTCTTCAGTAACACAGAAGAGAGCCTGGGTTTCCTGGAGTTTCTGGATTTCCTTGGTGACAAGATTCAGCTGCAGGATTTCCGTGGGTGCGTACCCAGTGCAGTTGGAAAGCCAGATTGAGTTAGGTAACACCATATGTTCAGAGTCTGCAATTCTCTTAGAGCCCTGCTTTCAGAAAAGTGCTGTGCTGTCTGAATCCAAGTGCAGGTGGAGAAGATGATTTTGTCAGCCAACCTATCTGGGAACAAGTTGGGGCTTAGGTCTCTACTGGTATTTTCATTTAAAGGTCTGCTGGTATCTCAATCTGACACGGCATCAGTAAATATTTTTATTTGACTGTGTGAATGTAAGTTTGTTTCACAATGGTTTGGGTCAGTATTGTTTTAGCCTCTTTCTGTGGGGCAGCCCATCCTTTCTGTAGTTCTAAAATATAGATTGTGTGTCTCAGCAGAATGCCAGAAAAAGTAGGTCCTTTGAAGATCCCTGGTTTAGTTTCATAGCTTTTAGCAAACATGTTCATCAGCAGAAATATTGTGCAGCTTCAGTCCGTGCATTTGTTTTGGGAAGATTTGGTGCCTCGCTATCACTGTTTTCTTAAAAATTACCTTTCATAATATTGATGTATCAAGCTGTTATTATTTGATATCATCTTTCCTCTCTCCACTTTCTCATCTCTGTCCTGCCTGACCTATGGTGTGATATGGATTTGCTTAGGTTCCGGGGAGGCTTGGATGTTACCAGAGGTCAAACAGGCACTGAGTCGGTCTACACAAATTTCCGGGGCAAGGAGATCATGTTTCATGTGTCTACAAAGCTGCCCTTCACAGAGGGAGATTCCCAGCAGGTATTGGAAGGAGAACTAAAGAATATGACAGCGTGGCTGGAAGAGGAGGGATATTTGAGGGACTGCACAGAGGGGAGAATGCCTAACTGCATAATGTTGGGAATTCTGGCTGGAGTAATGGTAAAAGTAGCAATGAGGGGTTTGGTTGTACAGATGGATTGGAAATGCTACAGGCAGACTGGTGGTTGAGGCCCCATGGTACTGTTCGGCTCTTCTTCACCTGCCTTCTCACTTTATTATTTTTTTTCCTCTCCAGCTTCAGCGTAAGCGTCACATTGGGAATGACATTGTAGCTGTCATCTTCCAGGATGAAAGCACACCTTTTGTCCCTGATATGATTGCTTCTAATTTCCTACATGCTTATGTGGTAGTTCAGCTCACTCATGGCACCACTGGGGACACTCTCTACAAGGTAAACAGAGACAGTAGATTCCTCTGTACCGATTTACTGATATTGATCCATGAAGTGGAAACCTGTTCTTAGGCCTTTGGGAGAGGTATGGGTTCAGCCAGCTGCCATCCTAATTTGTTACGTATCCACACATGAAACTAGCATGTAGTTGTGTGTTGTCCAAAGTAGCTGATGCATTTCTGAAGCTTAAAGCTTGGGAATTGAAGTAGGACAAATTCAGATAAAAAATTTTACTTGCATTCAAAGAGCATGAGGTGCAATCGATCACATTTCGGGGGATGTCTTGCTTGCATTATATAAGTCAGGCAAAACTCTTTCACCTGGCTGACAGCCATGTCTTCATTGCTCATGCTGCACAGCACAGTGCTGAGAGCTTGCACTGCCTGAGACTGCAGGTCATGGCCTAATCTAAGGAATCTGAATGAGCTACATCTGCTTTTGGATATCCCAGAACTGATGCCCATCTGTCAGGGAAGCGCTGCCTGTTAGGGCCCTCCAGCTGAACGAAGCCCTGCTAGAACATGAATTCCCTATATGCAGCCTTTGGACACAGCTCTTTCTCTGTCACATGACTATATGGACGTCTACATAACTTCCTGTTCAACTTTCAGTCATGCTGAGAGAGCAGAAAATACATAGAAGCTTGAATTCTGTAATGGATTTTCCATTCTAGAAACATTTTAATCAAAGTTCTGTGTCTCGTATTATACAGGAACTCTGATTTGGTGATAATGAGTCCTTATGCCTTGGGAGTCTACGAGAACACCAAGAACATCAACATTAGGATAGGATCCCCATCTCCTCTCCCACCAAAGAGGGTGCAGGGGGTGGAAAAACCACCTTCCATTTTTCCCTTATGCTACGGGCCAACAGGTCTGTAGTGACACAATAGCCTCATGTTGATCGGGGCCGCGGGGTTTCGGTTCTCCTCTCACTTCCTGTTTTGTAGGGCACAGGAATCCACTGGATTTTTTTAATGACAAAAGAAAGAGCTGGGGAAGCTCGCCATTTGTCTTGTCTTTTCCTACTATTGGCTTCATCTTTGCCTGTCTGTAATGCCATTATTTTTGTCAGTGTACTAGGGTTACTTGTATCATTTAATGAAAAAGAAATAGTCCCGGTCAGGACCCTAGAACCAATGTAGAGTTTTCTGTAAAGGCTTTTCCAAAGCGGGTTTTAACTCATTCTGCCTTGAGAGCATTATAATACCTGTAAGACTGCATACTGGGAAGATTTTTTTTCCATCCATTGTTCTATATGCTTAAGCTTTAGTGCCTAGGCGTTAAATTGGAATATTAATGTCATTTATTTCTTTGAATCATTTTTTCCAATCAGAAAATTAAGAATGCGGAGCCAGATTTTAACTAGTAGATATCTATTGGGAGGGAGAGGGAGGCCTAGTAATTAGAGGAGCTGACCTACAGTGTGAGAAATCTAAATTAAATCAAGGGCCTCTTTCCTTCTTCCTCTCATTAAAGTCATGCCTCTCATTTGCTCTGACTTTTACACTGGAGTGATATTTTGAGGCAGTTGCTGTTAAGTTGTTCTGACATTGTTCCCTGTTGTATGAAATGGCAAATAATGGTATCGTTCCATCTCAAACATGACAAAAAAATAAAACTGTGAAATACTTCTTAGTGCTCTATATATCTGGTAAGATAGCTGCGTATAATTATAAGTAAGTGCTGTGAAGAGCCAAGTGACTGTATGTAAAAACAGGACTGGATGACAATTACATTTTTGGCATTGGTATCTCAGGTAGGAGCATGTTTTGGTGGTTTTTTTGGTGTGTTTTTTTTTTTTTTTTTTTTTTAAAAAAGCATGCATTTTCTTATCTCTTACTGGGAAAGTGCTTTTGTATGTTTACCACATGTGACTCAGATGACATCACTGAGATACACTGCATGTTGAGGGGAGTATCTCCACTGAGACTTCTCTGTCAAAAACAATAGGTCAGTACAACCATATTGATAAAGGTTCTTCTAGTTGAATAGAAGCATCTTATTTTTTTTGTTCTAAATACACTGGTTATTATTAAAAGTATTTATTAAAAATATTTTTTTTTTCTAGAAGAGCAATTGGTTCAATTGTTTTTTGTTGCTCTTACTGTGTGCACATCTAGCTGACTGAATTTCTGGGAGATAAATCAGCACATCCATTCACAGAGTTCCGAAACAGAGGGATGCACAGGACAGCACAGTAGATCTCTTTTGTATATGTTAATGATTCATGGGGGATCAGATGTAACATAGTACTTTGAAGGCTTTGATAGTGTCCCTTGTGTTATGATACTTACTTTTTTCCCCTTATATTGTTTCAGGTTTCAGTCACAGCCCGAGATGATGTCCCCTTCTTTGGACCCCCTCTGCCAAATCCAGCCATATTTAGAAAGGTTTGTTACTCTGATCCAGTTTTAGATGGTAGTGGGATATGGTACACACTTGTGTTCTGAGTCAGTATTGTCAGTCTGGGTTAGATGACTTTGGAGGTCTAAAGAGCATTAAGGCAGAGCTTTTCTCATGTGGTATTTTTATTACTGTTTTCATCTCCAGTCTAGTCTTCATCTTGTCTTATAGAGTGCAGAGTTTCGTGAATTCCTCCTGGTCAAGCTCATCAATGCTGAGTACAGCTGCTATCGAGCTGAGAAATTTGCTAAATTAGAGGTGGGTCTATTACCTGGTTACTTCTGTTAAAAATTATAAAACTATATTACTGTCAGATTAAGAAACTAAAGTATAATTTTCTACTTTATTCTACTTCTAAGTTTGTGTTGCTTAAAAGAAGAAGATGGAATGTGATTGTACTCAGCTATGTGATGCTTCCTTTGTATTTCACAGCAGGTGTGATAGAATATGAACAACTACATTCTAATATAAAGAAGTAAGAATGGGAGTATGATGCATACATGTTGCTGGAGAAAACTTTTTATTAGCTGAAACTTAGTATTATGCTACAGGATGCTGTTACGACCTGGACTGGGAGCCAAGGAAGTTGTAAAGGTTCTGTGATCCCCTCAGGTTAAATTAAGGTGAAACGACACCAAACGACTGGTTAAAATGTTTTACTTGCAGTAAAAAGAACTTAAACTTGGAAAAGGATAAATCTATAAGGAGGAGAGGGAGAGGAGAGGTGAGGCCACAGCTTGTCAAAGTTTTCTATGTCAGTGAATGTTTGAGGCATTAATTCCTTCAGTTCCTTACAAATACCTACACTTTAAATTATGACTATACCCTCGAAGAAGGGCTGCTAAAGGCTAGACAATTACCCAAGAAGCAAACAACTGAGAAAGAAGTAAAGGTGGTAGGGTGGAGCATGACCACCAACTCAGTTGGGCAAAGGGGTTGGTGCACCCCATCCCCCCTCAATGCAAATGCAGAACCCGTGCTCCACCCTTTCCTCATCTCTCAAGGAAATGAGTTTGTGGGATACTTGCCTCTCTTTGTCTCCTATGCTAATCAGCTGCTAAAGATCAAGTTAAAAGGTCACAGAAAACTTTATTGTGTGTGCACCTGCCACCCAAGATTCCTGGACCTGACACAACACTGGAACGAGGGGTGGTGACCAGACTCTTCTCTTTTTCTTCTTTCCTTTCATTTCTTTTCTTCCTTCTAGATTTATCAATAAGAGACCTCATTGCTTACTATTCTTTTCCAAGTTTAAGTTTTTCTACCACAAGTAAAACATTTTAACTGGTCATTTGGTGTCACTTCACCTTAATTTAACCCGAGGGGATCACAGAACCTTTATGACTCCCTGGGCTCCCAGTCCAGATCGTAACAGCATTAACCCAACATCTGCTTTCACTCAGTCTGTATCTCTACCCCACTTTGGGGCTTATCTAAGGAATTTGGCAACCACAAGGGTGTGAAGCCATACGCTTTTTGATACATTCTGTGCTTACTAATCACAAAGGCCACAGCTTGTCCTTGAGGCTTTCCGTGTCAATGAATGTTTGAGGCATCAGTTCCTTCAGTTCCTTACAGGTGAGTAATGATATCACTGATTTGGGTTCAAGGTGCCAAAATTCTGTTCCAGACTCTAATGGCTTGCCTGATCTAGAAAAAAACATGCCTCTGACTCACCAACTGTAAAAAAGTGCTGATGTCCTTTATGACTTGCTTTCTAAAGAGTTTAAAAGGGTTGGATATTACTGTAATATATTCCATAACTATACAGCTAAAACCACTTCATACTGTTTAAAGTAATTTTCGTGGTGATTTTTTTTTTTTAAGGAAGATGTGAGACATTGCATAAACAGGAAAAAAATAAATTCCTCCACTCCCAATAATAGTTGTGTTTTCGTTCCCAATGTTGATGCAGGAAAGAACCCGGAGTGCCCTCTTGGAGAGCCTTTTTGAGGAGCTGCGGCTTCGCAGTCGCAGTATGATGGGATTACCCATAGGGGAGGATGACAAGACAGAGAATGGCAGTGGGGGCTTCCTTGAGAATTTCAAGGTGAGCCATAATGAGCTGATTCCTTATCCAGTTGCTCACACTTTTCTCAAGCTCATTGTGTGTCCCTCCAAGGAATATCGACCCTGCTGATCAGCTGTGCTTAGGGTCAAACAGAAAAAATGTCTTCCATCCAGCAGCCTTTCTTTAGAGCATCTTCAACTGTGCTTTACTGTATCTCTCAAGAAAATACATTTTTCCCTTTCCTGTGCTCCTTCCTACAGAGCTACAGCATGGTCCAGGGTGGAATTCCATACTTTCCCTGAGAAGTTAAACTCTTCATGCTTCATGCTGGTGTTTAGTATCAGATGGAGTTTCACTCCATGACTTACAGAAAAAGGAATGAGTGTTTTCAAGAGGAATTGTAGTAATTAGTAGCAAGCAGCTTTCAGTTCCTACAGCAGATCTCTTCCAATTCATTTCCATTATAACTGAAAGAGCTGCAAGAGAGTTTCTAACATATATGAGTGCACTGTATAGAAAAGCTGTGATGCTTTATTTACCCTCTAAAAGCCAGAATTAGTTTAGCTTTGTTCACTGTAGATGACATTTTTTTTTTTTTAATAAATCAGATCAGGTGGCAGAACTTATTTTTAAAAATGATAAAGATGATATGAGAAAGCAAAGTTTCTGTAAGAACGGTCAAACTGGGTTTTGAATTGGTTATATAGAGAGAATCTTATATCACTTTCCTATCTACTTCCACTTTCCCACTTCTGTGGAAGTGCCTGACTGCTGCTTTTGTATTATAAGTTATCTGTCTGGACAGAGAGACATATTCTAGATAGCATTAATTTGGATGGCCTCTGCCTGCTTTGTATGGTGGGCTGGTTAGAGCTGCTAAGGGCTGAGAAACTAATTCATTTACATACAGGTTTGGTAGTTATATACATAGCTTTGGTCAGAGCTGGGATGCTTTGATGAGGTGTATTTTTACTTGCAATCAGTCTACCCTGCCTTTGCTGCTAACCAGGAATTTCATACCCATCCATGTCTTACACTAATTATTCCAAAATGTCCTTTTCTGACTTCTAGCAGATGCTGTGATTTGCATGTCATGTACACAGATGAACTTTGTAAAAGGCTGAATAAGCTCAGAAAATGGCTTTTTCAAATGCTGCAGACTTTGATATGGCTGCTTTCCTCTTGGAATCAGCACTCACGTTCATGCAAGACTGGACCTTACAGTCTTGAACAGGAGTTTGATTTTGTGTTTTGTAGCCTGTACTGGGTAGGGCTGCTCCAGATGATGCTGTCTTATCTGGTATGCTGGGATACTGGTATGGAGTCTCTCTTTACTGCAGAAAGACAAGGGAAGTGAAAGTAGAAAATATACTTGAGCAAGATTTCTTCCCTGGCAGTGAGCTCCATGAATAGTCTAGGACCAGAAATGGTTAATATCTAAGATGCTGCCTTCTACGAGTTAGGATTTCTATGGTTCTGCTGTTGGTCTGCCACAACTTTCCACCCGATCTGTGGTGCTTTTCATACTGCCCTACTGTGTGCATGTCTACATGTGTATTTGTCTGTTTCCCTGCCTCCCTCCTGTTCAGCGGGTGATCAGAGGCCGCAGCCAGAGCCTGGATACCACGGGGATATCCGTGAGAAAGCAGCAGCCAGCCACCCTGCCCAGCCGCCCAACTACAGCTGGCCTTGCCCTCAGTCAGAATGTCGCCGAGGGCCCTAAGGCCATTGCTGCGGTAAGGTTTGGGTGGGCTGTAGGAAGAAACCCGGCATACCTTTGTGACCCACCCATACGTTTTATTTCTCTTACCCTGTTAGTTTATCCTCATGTGCTTCCGTGCATCTCTTTTTGTTGTTATCATCCCATTTCACCAGTGGCGACGGCATGTGCTGCAGTCTGTTTTGTCTGTGCCTGTCCCTAGCCCCAGTTCATCGGTAAACTGGAGCTGAGCTCAATGCAGACTGGCAGAAGAAAGCCAAACATAATTCTGCATCAGCCATCTATCTCTGCTATCCTGGATTAGATCCTCTATGTTGCCATACCTTAAAAAAATACATGCACTGTGGTTTGACCAGAATGGTACTATATCGCCATATGGCAAGAGCTGAGAACGTAAGGATACTAGATCTGTTCCATTTTCTTCAATTTCACCAATCAGATTATCTTCTGTAATATGAACAGGTGCACAGTGTTTATTCAAGGTGCTGTTTTGCTGTAAATAGAATTTGCACGCTGAGAACAAACAGCCGAATTAATAAAGTTTGGGGTGAGATAAAGCGTGGATATTTCTAGTCACTATCAGAACCTGTCTTATTTGATAGGGATGTTAAACATATGTGATCAGTGTAAGCATAATAAATCCATGTCAGATGTTTCCAGAAAAGGATCCCTGTTTCTGATACTGGAAATATGGTTACCCTGGCCAAAGTGCATCCAGCTGATTGCGGTCTCTGCACTAGTGATGTCAATACAGGCAAACTACATAAAACTGTCTCTAAGTAAGCCCAGAAGGTGCCTTTCAGCGTGGAAATTTCCTGGTGACGGTTTATTCAGTTGTATGCATTCTTTATGTCAGCACAACAAAGTCACAGAATAGTAATGACTTGGGTTGCTGCCGCCTTCTCTCCTTTAACTGCTAGTTTTATCTACCTTTCTGATTCTGCCTCTCCTTCTCTCATCCTATGGGGATACCTCTTCCTGAGCCTCTTCCTCTGTGTACTGGCTGCATATCTTGTTCTGCCTTTGTTTCTATAGCTCTCTGTCTCTTTCTCATACCAACTTTGTAAGCCCTAGCTTTTCTTTCTCACTGACAGGAAGCACTCCTTGCACTGGTGAAGCTGGGGCACACTACTGTATTGCAGAGTAAGGGCGAGGATCTGGATCCATGTCGCAAACTCCCTCTTCTGTGTTTCCAGTTCAGCAGAGTTTTTCCCGTCTTCCCCTCCCTCCTTTCTGTCACACTTTCCTTTTTTCCAGTCTTTTGCCTTGCCTGGTAGGAGCCCATCACGTACTCGAGCCAGCCGCTTCCACGGGCGACGGAGTAGTGCCATTGGCATTGAGAACATACAGGAGGAAAAGAGGTATGAGCTGTGGGAAGATGAGACAAAGAGAGGAAAAAAAAAAAAAAGATGAGAACAGAAGGGATTCGACAGGAATGAAAACTGAAATGGAAGTGTTTGGAATGGGAAGAAAGGTCTGATTATTGGCTAATGGAGAAATGGACAAACAACAGAAGAAAAATAAAAAAGGACATTTGGATATGGGAAGAATCAATATTTGAGGAAGAAGGCAGGAGATTGGTGGAGGAACATAGTACGATTGCGCTTAGATATTGTTCAGTATGATCCAGGACTCGCCACTTTTAGATATGAGTCAGATGAAAGGCTTTTACTTGGGAAGGGGGAATTGCATGCTTGATTGTTTCTTTGTTTTCATGTGAAAAATCTCAGATATATAAGACTTCTGATATATAAAAAAATATTTTTTTTAAAAAAGCTCTAAGTCAAAATGACTAGCGTTTAAGTTAGATGGTCTAAGAAATAATTATAATTAAGGGGTAACATACAGGTTCAAGGAGTGATTTGGCATATATGACAGTGATAAACATTCAGAAGTTGTCTACTAGTCATGAGAGATTATTGAGTTAAATTAATAAATTTGTCTCAGCTCTAGCTGAGGCACCTTTTTAAAATTATACAGAGTCTCAAAAGTCACATGAGTGCTCTGCATCTAATATACAGTTTTCCCAGTTGCAAGAATTCCAGGGAACAGCTTAAAGACTTAGTGTAAAAGGGGAAAATCCATCTTTAATATGGAAACTAGTGATTTCACAACAGGAAGAATTACTGCATTTTCCCTTCTTTCCAGTTATTCTCTTGGACCTTTCCTTAATGAAGTGCTTATGACCTAATCTGAACAAAAGTAGTATAGAACTTTATTTAAGAAAAATAAAATCGTCTGAGATGACTTCCTTGTAACAGTCTAAGCCAACACAGTAGCCACAGCTCCTCACTACTTTAAGTAGTTTTGTACCTTATGCAGCTGTGTCTCTCAATCCACTACTTTGCGTTCAGAACACCCTTTACTATCCCCATAAAAGATCTGTAAAAGTTTTCTACAAGAAAAAATGCTATATTTCTTTTTCTTTTTTTTTTTTTTTTTTTTCCCTGCTCTTTTCTAGGAGGGACTTGGTAAGCTATTGGGTTTTTTTAGCTTTTGCTTATTTGTACACTTAGGTATGAGGATCAGTGAGCTTTGTGTTTTGTGAAAGACCTTTTGGGTGATTCTTGAAAGTGCAGTTTCACTAGCAACTGCTCTGTTCTAACAGTTCATTGCTACTGAAAAGCAGGTATCATACTTTTCCTCTGCCAGTGTCTCTTTCAACTACCCAGTCCTGTCCCATTCGTTGTGATAGCTCCGATGCTCAGTGCACCCTTTGTGGAACTGATTCAGCCCCTTAATGTAACAGAAAAAGTATTAACTTTCTTTCATTGAATTAATTATCCACCAGGTTCTGCCATGAACTGGCTCGTGGAGAAGTCTGATGGGTATCAGGACTGATGAAAAATAGACTCAGCAAGAGTGAAGGAGGCTGGAACAGGCTCTCTGGCATCAGTGAGCTCAACATGTCATTCACCCTGAAGCTGTAGTTTAGTGACATGCAGGGGTTGATGACAGAGCTGACCCAGTCCATCCCGCCTGTTCATGTGTCATAGAAGTTTCAGGGTTGCATTAGTTTCAGGATTGTTTTTTGTCAAGATAATTTCCAGTCTCACAAACGGTTGTATTTAGCACAAGTGAGGGCATGAGGAACTGTGTTGTGAGGGGTACAGGTAGAATCAACTGACCCAGAGAGAAGAGGAAGAGCTTTGTGAACTCCATCACTGAAGCCACAAAAACACCCCAATAAAAAACTGAGTTTTCCAATCCTGAATAAAACATTACCCTGCTTTTCAGTTACTCAGACAGCTTTCTTCAGAGAGGTATCTTGACAAGTACTAGTAACAGTAAAACTGTTGTAATCATCCCGAAACAGGATTTGCTGAATCCTTTTTGTTTATGCATTAAATATATAAAGTCTCTAATCAATCCTAAAGCTTCTTAATACCAATTAAATGGGGAGGGTAGAAGGGAAAAGAGAATACTGAAATTAATTTAGGCTTTTATATAAATTCAAAAGGAGGTTAAAGGTGGGCATTTCTAATATATTGCCCTCAAGAGGTCACATTTTAAAGAGTCTGCCCTTTTCAACACAACTGCATTTGCTTCACTTTCACATGTATACGAGAGATCCAGTTTTGTATTGTGGCTTATAAGGAAGTGTAAGAGTAGACAGTGGTTAACTTTGACCCTGGGATACAGCTGGTTTCTCTTTTGTCCCAGCAGAGACACTACAGAGAGGATACAGAATGTGCTGGACAGTCCAGGAACTTTCTTTGACCTGAAGTCTGATGGATCATCCAGTCCCAGCTCCCCAGAGTTCCCCAGCAGGAAGACCAAGTGAGTTGAAAATAATATTTGAAAGATGCTCACTGTGTCTGGTGTTGACTTAGGTGGGGTGCATTTCTTGCTCTGTTGAAGTCTTTATTGAGGTTGTCCACATCAGGCATTGTAGCATCTTAAAAGTTAGATGTCTGGCTGTGGCACAGTAATTCAGAGCATGTGAGTGAGAAAACCAGCTTTCTTAAACAGCTGGTGAAGAAAGATTAAACCACTTAAAGGTGGTTTTGGCTGTATCTTTACTGCAAAGTTAGCTTGCACCCAACAGGATACACAAAGCCCTAGCTGTCCAATTATCCATACTTACCCACATATATGTTTCCTCTGTAGTTTGCTCTGGAGTGATTTTGGAGCTTCGTGGAGAAGCTTAGACAAGGGTATGTTGGGGTGTTGGGTTGTACTCAAGTTCTGCCCCTTGAAGGAGGATTCATGCTGCTGCTCCCAACCAGCATGAACTAGCCTGTCTTCAGTTCTCCCAAAATGTTACAGCAGGGTCTCATGTGTTGCACCTATGTTTCATTGGCAAAGCACACCATATCACAGCCAGTGTTCTGCAAAACACTTCATGCAGTACTCTGCCAAATAGTTCTCCAGTTTCTGGTGGTCAAAAACTGGAAAAATACGATTTTCTGGTAGAGCAGGTTTGCTGTTGTTAGGCTGTATTATGCTGGGATGTGATCCTATCTAGAATACTTCAGGACTTCACAGAAACCACACATTTACATTTCCAAGACTCCAGAGCAGCCTGTCTGTAAATCCAAGACTGCAGCTGACTTTCTGGAAGAGCTTACTACACACCTGATTCTTTGCATGAGAACTTGGATGAGACCTGTGGCAAAAAGAGAACTGAGTACTTTGTAGTAGGGCGTGTCCCCTTCTCAAGGCTGGGGCTGCTCTAAGAAAATTTCAGGAGATGCCCTAGAACCAGGCCCCTATGGTTGCAGTTGCTTCAGGTGCCAAGTCCGACAAGGAAGGGCCTTCCTTCCAACTAGACCCAATGCTCCCTAGGAATTACAGGCTGGTGACTGCAGTAGTTCAGCTACCCAACTGTATGCTGTAGGACAGCCCAGAATTTTGTTACAGCCGAGGGGCAGAGTTCTGGTAAGTATGTTTTTGTGATACTAGTTTTTGGGTTGGGTGAGTGTCCAAAATGTTGGTGGGGAGGAGGAGGGGAGCACAGCTAGGAGATAGAGACCATTTGAGATGCTTGCTCTGGCAACCAAGGACAGGAGAGAATGCAGGACATGGAACCACTGATTGGTTCAGCAGACCTCATCTACCATCATTACCACATCATTCCACCTCCCCTTCCTCATTCTGCCTGGGACCTTGCTAGAGAACTAGAAGTTCCTGGCTAGGCATGTGTGAGGGACTCTTGCTCGGATTAGGCAGCTGAAGTAACCTTGAATAATCATCAAGAATTCTGCCTAGTAAGAAAACATCTCACAGCTCAGCCAACCCTGGTTACCCTACTGTAGAATGTGTGAATGCCCTGGGACAAAAATGATGAAGCTTTCTTGACATCTGTTCCTGATTTCCACATTTGATTGTGGGCTTCCTCTACTTCGCAACCCCCATTCCCCATTCATCAGCTGAGGAGGTGAGACAACTGCAATGGCTGTTTCAAATTGGTATCATATACTTTCAGAGAGCAAACAGCATGGGATTTCACTAACAATACTTGCACAAATGTTGTTTATACATGAGGCATGACCTGTATGATTTGGCTACTTCTGTCCTCAGGATTCTCTCTATGCATTTTTTTCCAGTCATGTACTCAAAACCACTTGTACAATCACCATAAAAAGTCTTTTCACAGTTGGGTTGGTTTATCCCATTCCTGAACAGTTTGTTTGCAAGGTGGGATGTAGCATGGATTTTTGTACAATTGGTGATTAGCCAGAGTTGTGATTTCAGAGTTAGGGACCACTTTCTGCATCGTATTTGGGACAAGGAATCAAGGACATATAATTCCACCATGTAAAGCACACCATTTTCACCAAGACAATATTAGCACACTATTTCAGGAACAGGCTAGGAGTGTAATTCTAACAGTTGGTCTCAGAGACAGTTCTACTGAAATAGTCTATTTATGGTTCATTAATTGTGAAGCCAGAAATCAGGATTATGATGTAGGCATATTTCTAATGCAAAAAGAGTTCCAGCAGGGCCTAGAGTAATTTATGCAGCCCATATTAACAATGTTATCCGTGCTATTGTGTCATCAATCCAGTCCTGGTTCTCTCTATGGAGTAACGTAATCAGGAAATTTCTCTATTGCAAAATAACCAGCACATTGCTGTTGTTCTTAAATAATAATTTCAGATTCCAGACTCGAATGATCAAACTCTTCATCTATGTTCTACTAAAACCAACCTGGAAATAAATGCAGAGGGAACACATAAATAATAGATTAATTATTTTACAGTAGAGACAAAACAGCACTTATCTTCTGTCTTCACATGATGGTTTCCAACATACCCTTCTGCAGTGATCAGCCTGCAATCCATAAAACTGCATTGTTCACTTGGGCTAACAATGTCTTCTCTCCTACATGCAGGGAAAATTGTCCTTAGTTTTTTTTGCTCTACTGTTCAGGTAGCCTTCCAAATAATCCTTCTTCCTAAGGTATAGACTCAAAGGAGTTAACCCAGTCTACATAACCAGATAGCAAAACTCCTCAGGATCAGATAGTTTTCTGGGTTGCATCTGGAAAATCAAGCACTGTACTGTGTATATTTATATCCCAGGAAAAGTACATGGATTTTTTTTGTGTGTGTGTTTTCCCTCAGACACGTCTGAGTGGGGACATCAAGCCAATCAGGAGTGGACTGGATGCTACTCAGTCATTGGTTACCTCACTGAAGATACTGGGAAGACTTTTGGGGTGAAATGAGAGTCCATGAACTTTCTTAGAGGATCTCAAGGACTGTGGAGAGATCAAGTGGCAACAAGTAATGCTCCCCTGTTGGTTCCTGAAGCAGGAATCCTGGGAAAGGGAGATGGACAGATAACTCCTACTGGAGCATTTTGGCTCTACGCCCCTCCCATTGCCCAATCAGCAGCCACTGAACCAACCTTTACGAATGATGGGGAAAGGAGGCCACCTTGGGTGCCTCTTCTTCCCCTCCCCTCAGATGAACAAGAAAGGAACAGCTTGGCCTGCGAAGGCAAGAGCAGAAGAGCATGTTTCCACCTCTGTCTAGTGCCTTTGGATGACATAGGTCAGGAAGTGCAGTGCACAGAATGAGGATGGAGAAACCTGTTGAGGAAGGATGCTGAGGAGGAGATACTTTGTGGAAATCTAGGTCCCAGCTCACTTGAAATTCATGTTATTGATTTGCTCTGCCAAGGGAGAAGCGTGTTGGCCTTAATTTCCTCCAAAATATACTTCCTAATCTCCTGAGGAAATATCTTTGGCCTATATTGGCCCTATCTTTACTGTTGCATGCTGGCATGTAATATGCCTGGGACTTTAGGTTTCATTACTGCTTGTAGGTCAAGACTGGCCACATTTGGCAGTGTTTCTGAAGGAATAAATATATTTAGTATGTTAAAGGTGTCTTATCTTTCTTGCCTCTCTTACCTTTTGGGGGTTTCTTAATGTTTTTAAGCACTTAATTTCTCTCTTATTGCTGGTCTCTTGTGCGGGCAGTGAGTATTTCACCATAAATCGTAGGCTTACGTGCACAGTGCACCTTCCACCATGTAAGCATGTCAGCCTCATGGACTGCTCTTTCTCCTAGCTGACTGCAAGCAGTGGATCCCAGATTCTCTGCTGGGAGAAGCTGACCTTAAGGGTCTTTCTTGGCAGATATGAAACATGCATCAGGCTACCTCAGTGTCCATGCCATTTGAGAGAGTGGTTGTCAAGTGATCTAAAACAGTTTGCTTTGGATGTTCCCTTTGTAATGACCCTGTGGGAGCTAAAGGTCTAGTGGGCTGGACCTACAGGAGCCAGTCTACTGGCAACTGGGTACATGCAAAATTACCAGGATGGACATCCTGACCTAGGTTTCTATCTGTAAGCAGGAGGGGGGTTCTGACCTGTCTGTCAAGAGCTTGGCACTTGATCCTAAATAGTTTGTCACTGAGACAACTTACAATAATGCAGATCTCAGTAATTTGTTTCTACCTCCCCACTGCTTCCTTAAACTTTATTAGTTAACCATTCTATAATACTGGTTAATGTATATATGCTTTCCTGACGCCTCCTGTTACAACTGTCCAGAAACACAGTGGTAGCAGTTTATAAACTCTGACACAAAAAATGTGTTTTTATAGTCCCCTTGTACTGTCTGGAATTTCACATAAGGCCAAACATTATAGGCTGAAAATGGCTGTGGGAATGGGTGGCCCAGGCTGGGTAGTGCCTTCCTGTTATACTCAGTTTAACATCTCATCATGTTGTATTTAGGCTCCTGAAATCTCTGATCTCCAAAATGAAGGCATCTGTTGCTTTTAATGAATGACTAGAGGTAAACACTGCTTAAATGCAGGTGGTTTGACTCACTCTGTTTTAAGACACTTAGGTTTGCGTGTTTCAGTAGTGTGACTAAAGTGCTGTACACCCTGCAGGAGTTACAGTAGATTGCAAAGAATTAATGTGTTTATGTGTTTCTATGGAGAGCATGTATCTCAGTGGTTGTTTTTCTGCATGCAGTGCCCATGCCTCTTTATAAACTAGCTAGTTTGGATAGGAGAACTACAGAAGCAGTGCTTCTTGAACAAAGAAAGCAGCATGCTTCTGAGAAGGTGGGTAACCAGGTAGCTAGCCTTCACTGAGCTTTCTGACTGCCAAGGCTGGGTTCTTGGTGTAGTACCCGATTAAACTTGTAGTTGATTAAAGTCAGCTCTGATCCATTCACAGTGCAGAGATTATTATAGTCATTAGGAGTTCTCTTTAGTACCATACCTGGCAGAATTATTGCAGTATCTGTTTCTGAGGTTGTATCATCTGCCCTGATCTCAGACCCTGTTTGCAGTTGTGTTTCACTTTGTTAAAACGAACTGTTTCAGGTTTGAAGCATTTCTTGATGAACATCAGCCTAAAGCTAAAATTACGGAGAACTTCAATCAGTTTCAGTCAGTTTCCGAGAATAAGGCTGAAGGGACTGTGTAAGATTTGGGGAAAGTATGATCAAAAAGACTAAGCTTTTGAGGTTGGGAAGTCATTAAGAACTGTGGAAGGCAAAAGTTAACATTTGTTGCTAAAAGATTCTGGAATAGGAGCAGGTTGAGATGGTAAGAGATACTGGAGATAACGTGGATGCCAAGAAAGAGAGCTGGTTGGAAGGAACAGTGAAATCTGTATATGAATTGTGCGAAAAGGGATTATTGAAAAAGATTACAAGGGTCAGAAAGTGGAGCCAATTTGCTCTGAGTTCGAGAGTTAGGTCTCTCAATCTCTGCAGCAGCCCTGTCTGAGATATCAAGAGTGGTCATCAGATCCCTGCTTTAAATTTACTGTATCTTAATAGCAATGAAGGTGTGGTACTGTGAGATGTTCTGCAAGATTTCTCCACTTCTGCAGAACAACTCACATCATGAGCCACAAGAGAACCCAAGGCGTTGAAACTCCAGAAGAACAGGAAAAACAAATGGAGAGGAACAAGAGACCCATGTGGTATGCTATAATTAGGAAGTGGAGTGCTATATCCAGAGCCTGCCTGTCCTGAGAGAGACATAAAGGTGTTAAATGTGGTCATATGAAAAAACAGCATGTCAGGGACCTTCACCGCAGAAGATAGCTAGTGAGCTGCTAATAAGAGGCAGAAGTTGGGAATGAGCGTCTGTAGATATGTGTGTTGAACTCTCGTTCAGGGCCATCAGCTCAGAGCAAGAGTGATAAATAAATACTATGAGGCCAGGAGGCCCTACATCATGAAATTGTCTCTTTTTGAAGGGTTCTAGAAGTGACACTATAAAGGCAGTAGCTGCTTTGTGCCTGGTGGTGTGAGGGTTTTCACTGTATCACCGTGGTATTGTCCAGGCTACCATTTCCACAGGTCTAGTGGGATCCTGAGCAGGCCACAGCTCCCCTCACAAATGTTTGAGCTTTATTCACTCCTGTTGCCTTTGTGGCACTGCACTGAGACCAAGCAGGCATGAAAGATGGCTCCCTGTCAAAAGTAAACAAACAGCTTGTGTTTACTTGTGATGAGAAATATTAATGGGAGCAGAAAATTAGTGTAAATGCAAACTAGTTTGTTTTGCTTGACTGTCAGAAATTGTCTGTGTCACCAAGAATAAGATTTCACATTCCTTTTGACCTTGTTCCCCTTGCCCTCCGTTCCTCCGAGGCACTCCCAGGCACAGGCATAACACAGTGATGTTTTTAACAGCGTTGTTACGCCTCCCCTGCCACGACCCATAGTTTAATCCAAGTGAGATCTTTCCACAAATCCACTTATCATTCCCATCTACCTGTGTCATGTAAATCCCAGTGGAAGTGATCCACTACAAACATTTATTATATTGCTTGGGTTCTCTCCTTTTACGCCTCTACTCAGTTGTGGACCATTTTCCTTCCTGAATTCTTTTTCTTGCCAGAAAATCCCACTGGATCCTAGAGCTGTAGATGAACTATGAAAGTTCTGATCAAGGTCCAACTGCTAGGATGATAATACAGGCGCAACTCACTCTGAGTTCCCAGCTCGCCACCTTGGGGAAAAGCTGCTGATTCAATACACTCTCCAGTAGAAGAGTGCTAGGTTATTCAGCTTAGCTGTTCCATTTTTGCTATGGATATCGGCAATAAGGATGTTTTCCAGTGGCCTCTGCTGCTCTTCCCAGATAGTTTCCCTATCTGCTGACTCCTTACTGACCCACTGGTATTTACAACATTAATATACATCACCAAGAATAATCATTACAGAGACTGTGATGCAAAGTTCAACATAATTTTTAGATTTTATACACTCCATTGCCAATGGTAGTGATCTGATACTGACACTGTAAAACTTTCACTGTGCTTTCTCAGTATCTTGGCATGGTAAGACAGCTGCACCCTGCAGGAGTGGTGATTTTCTTGCTGTACCGTATCCACTCTTGTATCTTCAGTGCAGAGATTAAAAAAAAAAAAAAAAAAGTGTATGAGGGGACACCAACAAACATGCAGGTTTGTATATGGACTTTGGGTTTATGCCAGGAGAGACATAGTTGAAAGGGATAAGCATAGTGGATTTGTGACTAGCTGAAATCAACTCACTTAATCAGGAGACTGTAGAGAGGTAGGCTTGAGTGCCATTGCTGATTGCAGTAAGAAAGCTTGATGATGTCACCATCCCCACCACTTAGAATGCATTTGTGGTAACAATCAAAAGGACAGAGAGGCAGGAAATAAAAGGTTACATGTGTGTGTGAGGTACATGAGGTAGCAGAGTTGAACCTGCATTTTGTAAGTACAAAGTGAAATCTTGTCCTTAGGAATTTCAAAGTTTTTGATGTTTTATTTTCAGTAAATTCTGACAGTTCTTAAATTAGAAAAAAAGTAGGATTAAAAGCAATTTGTTGCACTAAAATTTTGGGGAAAAAAAAACAGGGATGGTGTATTTATTTTTATTTTTGCAAATACTAAAAAGTTTTCTATTTATGTACTACATCCAGTCCTGACAGGAGACTAATTACCAAAAGATAAAGTGTGGCAATACATGTTAATGTTCCTAGACAAAATTACATTTAAATAAACATTGATAATTTGGGTTAATCTACGCAACAGGGAAGAACTGTAATTATCCATAACCAAGTATAATAAACTGAAGAAATGACAGAGTTAAGCTAAACTGAAAGGAAATAAAACACCTTGGGACAGAGAGGCATTTGGGTGTTTTAGTTTTGCCCTTCAGTGAGCTATACAGTAACTGTTCAGTCACTGTTATAATGTACTGTGTAAAATCAGACTGAACTGATTTTTTTATGAAGAAACCTAAGACATTTTGGATGCCCACTGCAAGTCTAGATCTTACACTGAACGATTCTAGAATTCCTAACCCATATACACATTTTTGGATTCTCCAATTTGCCATTCAGGTTGAGAGAGCAAAGTTACAGAAAAGAAAAAATCAAAATGGCAGGAGTCTGTGGTCATTATGCTGCCAGAGCTAGATAAAGAGATAGAGAACTGCCATTGCCAAAACTGCTGTTTTCTGAGTTGGCTTTAAAGCACCAACATGTCTTATCTGCCAGTGCATACCACATGAGGCAGAGGTGACTTTCCCCCTAGCCTCAAGGCCAGGATATAAATTCAGCTATAATCCTCCTTAACACTTTCTTTAGGACATTTCTAGGTTAGTTAATATGCATTGTTGTGTTAGATGTGTTTTTATTCGGTTACTTGGTCTATTAGTCACTACCTACAAACACGCATCGTAATTAAATTTCAAAGTACGGGAGCTGGGATATACACAAAATGGAGAACCCTGGTACTGCAAACTCATGTTGTTTAAAGCCACAGTTTAGCAACAAATGGCAGTGATTCACCAGTTTTGTTTTTAAACCTCAGAGTTTTAAATTACGTCATGAAACTGGGAAAGGTGCTAGTCTACCTTTGAAAAACTGCTGAAACAGAGTTGCATCTCATCTGTTCCCTAGAAAATATTGGTATGATCATGTATAGTTCAAAAAGAAAAAAATGTTCCTGTGAAGAACATCTTGGCTTACTATCTTACTGCAGAAATCCCTCATTAGCTGAATTTCACAGCTTTCTTAACTTTCCTGATTGAATGGTGGATAGGTATGCCATAAAAGTAATTTGTCTGCTCCTTTTGCCTCCTCAGCATGTTCCACACTGACACCAACTCTTGAATTCAAACTCTTTCAATTTTCCTCTGATTCAAATAAAAGTTATAATACAGATTTACTGTTGCAGTACAGCTATGTAAACTCCCAGAAACGATACTATTTATGAAATTACAATATTTAATAATTTTAAACCATTCTTAGTGCATAGGATGGAGGGTCACCTAAGGATAAATCAGAATGGTGTAAGAAAGAGGGCTGTTATGTTAAAGATCTCATACTCGTTTCTTGTGAAATGTGTATGGTGAATATAAGATGATTACAGAAAGCAAGAAAATGTTTTAAGTTTGTGAATTTTGCAAAGTATTTAATCCCTGGTTTAGCCATGGTGTTGACATGTGATGATACGCAAATTCCTTAAACCCTGAAGTCAGATGTGGAAATCCCAAGGGAGTGGGCAGAGGGAGAAGAAAGAAGAGAAATGCTGTGAGAGTGTAAGATCAGACGGCTTCACAAAGTGTATTCTTAAGGACAAGGCATTCAGGTTGCAGAGATGTATTCAATAATGGCATTTCTTAGCTTGACTGCACGATGCTGTCACCTACTGGAATCTGCTGTATTATTTTGAACTATTTTTGTGTGTATGATAGTAGTGTATACAGAAATTGAAAACGGGACTGATGGAAACATTTGGGAAAGTTGAAGGATGCCTTCGTTACTCATTAGATAGCTATAGACATAGCTTTTTTTTAAGCAAGCAGCTACAGCCAGAACAGCTATGACATTGAAACACAGTCTGGAATGATCAATCAATGACTTTTTTTGAATAAAATGAAAGCCAAGTAGTCATTTTCCTTGTGTTTCAAGCTGCAATAAGTAGGTCAGGGTAATGTTAGTCAAGTTGGGTGTAGATACATTCCTTTCACTCATACCTGTGGATGAGCCACAGATCTGTGAAAAGTCTGGGGTAAAACCAGCTATATGTACAGCTCCTGGGATACCCTCTTGATTATTTCTTTATTGTTCTGTGCTTGGTTCCCTTCTAGGAAGCAGGTTGCTTCCTTCCAGCAGTGTTGCTGGCTCCACTGGAAAAGGAAAAGGCAGCAAAGCAGATGCTCAGCACCATAATCCAGTAAGTTCTTTAATAAAATGTTTCCTTCTCGCTTGCACAGAGATAAGGATGGGAGGAAAAAAGAGAGACAATTTAGGAGGCTTTGCTTACTGAGGGTTGAAAGGACAATAAGAAGGTGCTTGCAGGGGAAGGTGAAAGAACTGCCTTGATCTGCAGGCCTCCATTTATGTGCTGTGCGTGAGGTCACCGCTGGAGGACTGACTTGGTGCACGCTGGGGTGAGGAGCACAAGTATCGGACGTGGAGAAGCACTGCATGCCCGTGGTTCAGGGTGAAGGCAGGCCCCTGGGCCATCCCTGCCCTCACAGAAAGACTGCAGCAGATACTGTATGGCTCCACAGTAAAAAGAGTTAACCCCACACCTTATTCCTCAAAAGATCTTCCATGGCTAGCTGACTCTGGGCTGTTTAACCTACCTAAGCTCTGCTTTTCTTGGTTGCCTGCTCCCTCTCATGGAACAGCAGTTCCCACCGACGTCTCCCTCCGCCCTAATCTATGCCGTTACATTCTTTTGGTTTTCTCTCCTTGTTTGGTTTGCTTTGCTTAGATGTTACCTAGCTTTCTCTGCACCTATCCTCTGCTTCCTACGGTTTCATTATTTTACTGAACCACCTTATTTTGACCATTTTGTGACTTTGTGCCTATCTCTATGCTTGCTTGCTTTCAGCCTAGCGTTGGTGGGACCTACTCCTCCATGACAGTTTCGTAGCTTTTCCAGACATGGGAAGTGGGACTGGACCTCCTGATGAGGTCTGTAATAGAGCAAACTCCAAGTTTGTTCCCTAGAGTTCACAGTCCAGTTTTGCCTGCATTGCTGACGGTCTCTCTTTTGGCTCAAAGTCCCTTTCCTTGCTTAGTATCTTCTCTGGTTTGACAGCTAAACAGCACGCTACCTTGAAAGTGATGTGAATGACTCTCTCAGAAACTCATATGGTATATAGCTAAGTAGAAGAGGTATCATCTTTATGGAAGAAAATTCTTCCAGTTATTCCTAAATAGCTGGCAGTTCATATTACTGCTTAGCATCTACCCCTGTGTCTGGTAAAAAGACACAAGTTTAGATCCTCAGTGTTTTTTTCAATGCTCAGCTTTTAGCCACCCGGTGGCTTTCAGAGCAGTCAGATAAACAGTTCACCTCCATGTGGTGGTGGCCACTGGTGTTGCATCCGACTGACATTTACAGACAGCAGATCAGAAAGGCAAGCCAGGTAAAGAAGCTGGTATTCAGCACTGAGACCACTTAAACGCACGCTACGCCAAAGACAACGCTGAGAATGCCAGTGTAGCTGCCAGACAGTGTTCACTGGGGTAAATCCCTGGAGCATCTGCTCAGAGCTGGTGCTCACAATCAAGTCTCTGTAATACAGGAATAAGATTGCCTGAACAACAGGCAGAACTTCCTCAAAGCTCTGCTCCCAAACAGGCAAATTTTGCTTGCAGTTGGTATGCAGTCAGAATTGCAACAATATGCATACCCGCCCATATAAATGCAAAGGCTGTAACCACTTGGTAGTGGTTATCACAGGCAGTAAGCAGTGCAAGGAGCATTCTGAGTTTGGATTTTCCTTATCTCAGTCGTGTTTAAGTACTACGTTAGTACCAAATGCTCTGAGCATTTAACTTCCACAGGCTTCAAGCAGGTCTAAGGGCCTTTAAGAACATTTTGGGAAATATACAGCAATCTGTAAGATCCATCTCATTTGGTCCATCTGGCAAAACAACTTTTTGTCACAAAGGCTGTTTTTTTCAGTCAAGCTGGTTCAAAGGACAAAATTTCATGAGACCCTGGCTTTCACAATGAGATTATTTCAAGATGTTCCTTGCATGCTAGCCACCTTCCCACCAGAGTTCATTACCTCCACAAAAGTGCATTTTCCCCACCTCTGAGACAGGACTGCCTACAGCAGTGGCCCTGGGTCACTGGAGTGATCTTGCTTAAAGTGATGTTTCAGTCATTCCATTTTTATTGCAAACTCAGAATCAGTTTGATAGCACAAACTGGAGAATTTTGCTAGAAAACTAGCAAATTTCACGGAGTGAAATGGTAAAAAATTTCTTCAACATGGCTTCAAGGGACTCAAACCTACGGCATCCACATATACAATAACTTCCCTGCTATTCTAACTCCTAAATTAAGGTAGCCTCTTATATTTCACAAAGATTTCCTTAAATTCGAGTCTGGATTTGCCCAAAGACCAATGGGTGCACCGGTGGAAAGGAGGAAGGAGTTCTCAAATTATAGGGTATTTCCTGAAAAGCTGAGAGATATAAGGAAGAAAAATTATGGAAGGGGGAACAAAAGATACTCCCACAACACTTACAGCTGTAAGAACATGAAGAATACAGATTTTTTCTGATCCAGGATTTGCTGTTCAAGTGAACAAGTGTGAATATGCTTTATCTTAAAGTTCAGAAAGAGACAAAAAATGGAATTCCAGCTGCTGCTAGTCCTTCTTTCAGTGATGCATCAGCCAGCCACAAATCACTGAGAAATCAAGCCTCATACAAATCAAATTAATTCAAGTGCGTTATTCCAATTGAGCCAATACAGGGCCAGGTTCAAACTATTTCAGTGTGAAAATTATTAATTTTATTCTTCGCATATCTTTCTGCAGACTATGTGATGGGAAGTCCCTCATAGCCACATCCAAATCACCTTTGGATAGGCAGCAATTAGGCCATCCTTGAGGAAGCAAAACAGAGTCTGGTTCAGTTACCAACTAAACTTCCATGGTATTCACCACTGTCTTCCAAAGACATTACTGTAAAACTGGCACAAATTAAAAACCCTTTTAAGGTCTGGGGTTGGTGCCTGAGAATGCATGTGTGTGGTGGTCTCCTCAAATGTCAGTCACTGCAGAGCAAGGTGTATAAAGTACTGTCCAGGAGCAGGGGACAGTTCCTTTTGAAAAACTTGTTTCCCTAGATTTTTCTTTGGGCTTGAATTGTCCCTCTGTCTTCCACTCTTCTCTCTCATGTCCCATCCAATTGCCATGCTGCAGAGTAAAAGGAAGCATGAATACCTTGTCCTGTGCTTCTAGTGTCTATGTAGTACCTTGGACTTAAATAAAAAGGAGAATGTGGCCAGCTTCTCTTGGGCTGTATGTGTGTGTGTTTCTAAAGGCCAAGCAGGAAGATATGAGAAATGGAAATCACAGTCCCATAACAATTTAATCCTCATGCTTTTAGGGAGAAATCCAGAGGTCTCAGTCCCATAACAACAATTTAATCCTCATGCTTTTAGGGTAAGAGAAAGAGAACTAATCAGCAAAGAAGAACGTTTAATCTGCAAGAAGTTAAATATTTAATGTTTACTGTTAATCATTGATCTGTTGAAAGAAAAAAGGCATATTTGTATTGGTAAAGACCTCACCAGAACAGTGATACTGGCAAACCTTGAAATTCTTCATAATTTTAGAGATGAGACTGAGCTCTCAAGTTAGCTTTTGAGGGTGAGAAAGACATAAAATTGGATACATTCAGATAATCACTGAAGATTGACCATGTACCCATGTATTTTCATTCTTACGTATTTCCCCAGGACTTTTCACATCTTGGGGCGTGGAACTGATGGAACCGGCCCCAGCCATTTTTCACCTGCAAAACAAACCAGCACAAAAGAGAAGGTTAAAATTTAATACATATAAGTGATTGGCCAGTAACATTTCTGCAGTAAGATGACTGTTCCTACTCTTCTTTTCAAGGGTAACTACTGATGATGAAATACAAATTTGTATCTTGTTTGGCATGCTTCAGCCAGTTCCATGGATCTTTCACTGTCTAGTCACAACTGCAGCTGTCCAGAATTCTTTTCCTCTGTCACAGAAGAGAGATTCTGCAGGTCTGGGGCACTCCACATGCGGATGAGACCAATTGTTTTTAGGACTCCTTTTTTGAGGGGTTGGGGGTAAGGAAGAGAAAGAAGGTGGAAGGCTGGGGAGTCAGAGAAACAAAAGGACAATCTGTTGGAGTTGAGACTAGAAACCAGGCCAAAACATTCCAGTTAGGATTAGTGGCTATTACAGTATATGTTGGGTATTCATCTTCCTCACTCTCGTATTCATCAAAAATATTTTTATAGAATCAGAAACCCATCCAGAAAATAAAACAAACCTCAAAACAATTTCATTCTGTTTAAGCCTATGACTAATTTTAATTTGCATTAAGATTTTCTGCTGAAATTTTTCAACAAATGCATCAGACTTAATTATATGCATAACTCCTTCTAGTGACAAACTCTCTCAAGTGCCGAATCTTGAGATCAATAGTCAAGTGGCCTCTAACTCATGTAAAGCAAGTGACCGAGTTTTATTAGTTATCACAACCTGTGCCAATTTTCTTTAAAAATGTAAAGGTCGTATTCTATTAATAGAAAAATGGAAAGAACAATGGTCAATATATGAATATCTGTTTAAAAAGTTGTGTAGTTAGGTAATTACAAGTTATGAGCTGTGATAATGTGCTTTTTATTAAGAAGGAACAGATATAAAATGAAAACATTAAAACTACAAAAAAAGCAGTACCAGCCGTAGTCTTAATCTTAGCTAAGACTTAATGCCCACTGCCAAAAGGTTAAATATGGACGTTTTGAAAACTAAAGAGTAGTAATTTGAGAAAGGGATGTGCAGCACAAAGCCTTGGAACATACCAAGAGAGGATGGAGAACTCAAGATACTTCCTGTTTGGAAAAGGACTTCATCTTTGGGCATTCAGACTGTACTGAGATACATTCTGGTCAGCAATTTCATTGCACGAGAAGGATACCCAACGTATTTAATACTTGAAGGACCTTAAGAGTATTTTATTTATCAGTATGATGTAATTTGTTAAAAGAGGGTGAAAGCATGAAACCAAAAGTGATGTTATTAGGTACACTCACCTATAACGTTGCCTAGCAGCTCTAATCGATCAGAGCCAAAAAAGAGATGAGGTTCTCCATTAAGATGGGCCACCACAGCAGGCACCCCAAATGCCTATTGAGACCACAGAGATGAAACAGAATGTTATGAGAGAAATTTTTGCAGCCACGTGATCAATCTTCAGGAATAAAGAGCAATAACTTTGACATTTTTTCCTCCCGTTTTCTTTTTCTTAAAGATGAGTCTAATGAAGCCATCAGAAAGTAGGGGACTCTTCAGAGCCCCTGGGCCCATTTTGAAGGAGCAAAAAAAGCAACCGGATAAACCCACAGTTTTACGTCAAGTAGTGATAAATGGTATCTCTTAGTACTGGTCCTGTAGCTCCCCATCCTTGCTGTCCAGCTGGAGCAAGCTGAATGGGTCAACCTTGGTTTCCCAGATGACAATGAGATAAAACTACTAACAGTGAGGTAGCTTTCACTTGTTCAAAAGGCAAAGACCACTGTATAGAGAGGGTCTATACAGTGATTTCTAATCATGACCTTCATTGTGCCTTACTTCCCAGTATTCTTAATAGGTAGAGCATGCATAGCTGTGATGCCAAATGGCATCGGAAGCATCTCACCCCGTATTTTATTGCTTGCTCTGTAGTCTCTTTCAGTCGGTTCTTCACTGCAGGGGATGAGATCATTTCAAGTAGTTTCTGGGCGAGCTCTGATGATAGCCCAACCTGTCTAGCAACCTGAGAAAAGATGATATAATTAAGAGTACTCTAATACTAAATATTCTAATTCCTGGTATGGTCTAATTAATTTAATCTTCAGTATTATCACCCAAGGTCTATTACCAAAAAAACCCACAAAATACCCTTGCAGCACTTCTTGCACAACTGTCTTGCTGTATTACCAACCCATTCATCATTTATCAACTCTCAGATACAAAGTAGAAGGGATATTTTAAACTTCTAAGCCTCAAATACGCATTTTTGGGGGAGTTCCTAATCAGAAAAAAAAAAAAAAAAAAGGAAAAAAAGATAAATACTAAGTGTAATCTCCGATCCAATGAATTATCAGATAATTTACAAAAAAATAAAAAATTGTTATGAAAAGCAAATCTTACTGCACAAGCCTGCCAAGACAAAACCAGTTTGTATGACAAATGTGGCCACACAGGATCCGTAATACTGCATGAAAGAGACTGTAACTCTCAGAGGTTGAACAGTTGCTAGTGTTACTGCTGCATCTTTGAGCCTCCTCTGTGTCTCTGCCACACAGGAATGAAATAGTGACCAAAGGTAAAGGTCCAATGTTTACTGGGCAATATCAAAGTTGCAAGTACCTATTTTAATGAATTATTTCACAAAAAATGTTAACTTACATGCTATCTACCTGAATGACATTGCTTTTTTTTTTTTTTCTTGAAAAAGAAAATGCTTACAGTATTGCATCTGGACCAGTAATCCTGCACATGCAGGCGTTAGTAAGTTTTTCTTTCTTTCTCTCAATCACTTCTTCATTTAACATCCAGCTTCCTGTACATTCTCCTACTTCCACATCAGGGAAATTAGGAGCTCTTTTTGACTTTGCCTGAACAGGAGATAAACAAGTGTAGCACTGGAGTAAAACAAAATGCTCTGTATGTTTGGCAGTGTTTAGACTGCAATATTTACACAGACATAGTACCTGGTCCTCACCATTTTAGGGTAGAAAGGGTATTTAAGTGGACTGGGGCAGAGTTCATAGACTATGTATTGCTTCTCTAGGAATTTATGTGAAGTTACTGCTGACTAAAAAAGGAAGTAAAAAAAAAATGCTAAGGAATTCTATCAAGTAAACATTCAATTTTTCTAATTGATGTGTAGAACAAATTGACTTATAAAGGCTCACATGAAAGGACTGGGACCCCTCACCCACCCTTGGACGATGAATTTTCAGGAGAGAGGAAATTCTAGTACTTGTTGCAGGCATGAATGAAGACAGATGCAAGCAACTGCCTTGCTCTCTGCCTCGATGAACATAGGGGGATACTCACAGACCACCAGTGACTGAATTACATAGAAGGGTTTTTTTGAGTATGAAGTTTGTTCCTCTGAAATTCTGCGTGTCCTTGCTTTATTTTTATTTACATAACAGTGGATTCAGAAACTATGTGAGGACTTTCTGTATGTACTTATGTACTGGGTCTGGCTGGGATGGAGTTAATTTTCCTCACAGCAGCTCCTATGGTTCTGTCCGAGATCTGTGACCACAACAATACTGATACCACACTAATGACTTCACTATTGTTGAACAGTGTTTGCACAGTGTCAAGGCCTCCCTCTGTTTCTCACTCTTTCCGAAACCCTCCCACAGTGAATAGACTGGAGGTGCACAAGGGGCTGGAGGACAGAAGGCACATGACCCAAACTAACCAGAGAGATTCCGTGCCATATAACATCATGCTCAGCAGCAAGAACTGAGGAGTGGGTTTAGGAAGGTTAGCCACCATCTGCTTGGGAACTGGCAGGGCATCAGTCTACTTGTGGAAGGTGGTGAGTGCCTTTGCACCATTTGTTTTGTTTTCCTTCTCTCTTCTACCACTTCTCTGCTTATTAAGCAATTTTTATCTCAATCCACAAGTTTTCTTGCTTTTATTCTTCTTTTCCTCTTCCCCTGCCCCACTGGGCAGTGGGGGGAAGTGAGCAAGCACCTGTGCGATGCTTAGCTGCCTACCAGGGTTAACGCACCACAGCTTAATTATATGCTTCAAATCTTTCCTCTTGAAAAGGCAAAATGAAAACCTTTGCTGAAATTCTGGTAAAAAAGGTACATTAAGATGAAGCTGAAGTGCAAGGATTAGACTCTGGTGAAACAGCAAGACCCCAAGTTTTGGGTTTCAAATAGGGATGTTGGATAGGAGACTAGTCATGGACAATTCCTGTCTTTTCTTCGTATTCCAAGAACTTAAAAAATAATGTAGATATGACAGCCCTTAAAGAGGATCTCATGGTTTGCTAACTTACAAGCTATTACAGCTTTTGCTGCAATAACCAAAATCTATACAGCAAAAGAAAAAATACATCAAGAGAGTACCAATTCTAAGCGTCTAAAATGGCAATATAGCACTGAAGTTAATAGTAAAACCTGGCTCCATCACTCCAAGGAAAGTCAGCTTCTCCAAAGTGTTGCATTTCACCTGAGGATTTCGTATAGCAGCAAAACCTCAATACATTCTGGAGACACTGTTCATACTACTGTTAATTATACACTGTTAACATATAATTCATTGTCCATCCTGGATATCTGGACACATGAATTAACAAAAAAGGAGATTCTGGTTCTGAGTGTCATTCAAAGCATGACACAAAAAAAAAAAAATTCCAAGCAAAGCTGCTAGGAACATTAAATCCACTTTTTCTAGCCAAAATTTTTCAAAACTCCAAGCGATCATTTGACTAAGCTGTCTTCATGTATGTCTATTACCGATCCAAGCCATCAATAAGAATCTGTATCAGAAATGCAGAAGCACCAACAAAAAGGAGACACTTACAGCCAACATATTCTCCGGCTGACTGATATCTTCATGCTGGTAAAAGAATAAAATAAATAATTTCAGTACTGAAGAACAAAATCTCAGCTCTGGACTTCAAAGCAAATTTTCTAAGAAAAGAGAAATAAAAACAAATCTAGTTGCTGGAGAAATTTCCTCAGAAAAAGTTTTAAGTGACCTGATCTAGGAATCTATTAAGTGCTTTCTGATATGGACTGCTGATCCACTCAGCCCACAGGACTCACCACACATACCTAAAAGAAGACAAATCTGACTATAATCTAGTACTTTTCTTGTAATGGCTCCTGAACCACTATGACCTTAAGTTTCCTGCTGTGACTTTTCATTAAAAGACATTACCTTTCTCTTGCTCGAATTCCACATTTGAATCAAGTGGGACAGGAAGGGTGACAGAAAAAGGATCAAGAAGTTGGCTTCATAAAATACTGACCTGTGACCAAAAACGTATCCAAAACTCCCTAGATAAGGGTTCCAAGTATTGTGGTTGTGTCATATCAATGGCTGTGATAAAGCGCATGGCCCCAAGACTGCCTGGAATTAGTGAGGAGACAGAAAAACATACTGAAACAAGGCACAGAATCAGGAACAGATACAGTCTGCACAAGTGCTATCTAAGAACAGTATGATCTTCTCCGTAACAGTCCCCAAACAGTAAAGCTCATGTTGATTCACAGTATCTTCCATGCTAGTATCATTCACAACCATATTGCTCCAGAAATTCCTTTTATGGTTAAAAATGCACAGACTCCATAATGCTCACAGATATAGGAAGAGGCTGTGGACAGTGAATTCTTCTTCACCTTTACCAGAGAATTTGAACCAGAAATGCTAGAGTTGAAAGATACCAGCTAAGTTAAGTCTCTTACTTACTTGTACCAAGGACATGCTGGAAGATGTTTTCTGAAATTTGCACAGGCACTTGGTAGTATTTTGCCATCCTTTTTATATCCTTCAGGAGGTATTCTGCACGCTTTGGCAACAGTGCTGGGGGTTTGTTACCTTTCAGAAATAAGTTCTGTTGAGATTACAGTAACACTGGACAAAACAAAACTCGATAAATTAGACGTCATGCATACATGTGCCTAAGGAAGAGTGTAATTTCCTGTTGGCTTACTGAAACATACACAGCTTTTCCAAGAATAATGTTAGGATTTAAACATTTTTTACTTTGGTTTTGTACAGATCAACCCTTTAAGTTAGCAGAATCAGTTTTAAACCAAGGTACAAATGTCGTAGCAGGACTTTGTATTGATTCAGACAGATGACTTTTAAACTAAACAAAGACTAATGCACAGGTAAAAAATGTAGACTTGTAATTTCATAATTTATAAGTCTCAGTGATTAATTTGTTCTAATAAGGCTGCAAGTACTATTTTATTGCATACCTGGTTCATTCATTATTACAAAAGGCAAGTGTTCCACAAATAAATTCTGGTTTGAACTCAACAGAAAACTTTTAGGGAAACATTCCATATCCAATTATTATTACCCTATAATATGGATACAGAATGCCAAAGAACTGACAAACTTTGACATAGACTGTATGTGCCACAAACAGTGGCTGTGTAGTTGCAACAGCATGAAATTCCTTGTGGCCAATTTCTCAATCACTACTGAGCTCCAGGATCCTATAGTTATTTTGTTATTGGTGCCAAAACTTAGTTTAAACCTGGCTCTGTGGCCTTTGCACTCACTAAGAGCTTGCCCGCTAGTGTCCTACTAGTGAAGAAAGTATTTTCCTACAGAGCTAATCTCATCATATTGCTTACCAGTTGCTTGCATTATGCCACCAAGGAAAGCTGGACGAAAGGACAGATCAATATTCCAGATGTGCTGGTACCGGCAGAGCACCTACAACACAAAAAGGTAGCGATAGATTAACAGAGAGGTCTATAGATCTGCATGCAGCCAGGAAATAAGCTAAGGCATTAAATAAACACTGCAGATAAATCCTTTTCTATTACACTAGAGATAGTCCTAAAAGCCTTTTCTGGATGCTGCCAGAGAACTCTAATCTCAGAAAAACTGAAAGGACCACATTTATGACTATACAAGTCGAATCAGGGGCAAATAAGGAAAAGATCATGAGTGCACTTCTTAAATATCAAAACTATCCCTAAAGCAAAACGTTCAGCGATAACTACTATAAATACAACCAGGACATGCTGCCATTTGGCAGAGACACACTTCTTCAGAGCCCCTAACTTTCAACACGTGAGGCAGAAACTGAAATACCCCCTCCCAAGTGCTAAAAATAAACCCTAAGCGTAAGGTGGCAAGGGCGCCAGTGCGGGAAGGCACCGCCAGTCGGTGGGAGCAGCTGCCTCCCCGCCACCTCCCGAAGGGGGGGAAGCGGCGGGAGCGACACCCCGGGCCCGGCGCCAGCAGCCGCAGCGGGCCGCCCCGGAGGCCCCAGCCGCGGGACGGCGGCGGGGGGCGCCGCGGGAACGGGCCCCCCCTCAGCCTGCACCCTGCCTCACCTCAAACCCCAGCCAGGAGTAAGGAGACACCACATCGTAAAAGAGCTCCACGAGCGTCCGCCCCATCCTGGCCCCGTCCGCTCCGCTCCCGTCCCGTCCCGTTCCGCCGCCGCCCTGCACGCCCCACGGCGGCGACAACTCCCCAAGGGCGGGCGAGAGGGCGGGCGAGGCGGGCCGCCCTTCCGCGCCGGCGGGCCGCGGCCACCCGTTCGTCCTTTCTGGCTCCTCCTCTTCGTCTTCCCCTGTGCCGCTGCCCGCCCCGGCCTGGCTGGGGCCCGGCCCCGGCCCTGAGGTGGCCTTTGCTGTAAGCCCGGCCTGGGGGGAAGGGGAGGCGTGAGGGCAGGAGCCCGGGGCGTGGGAGGGAGCTTGTGCCGCTCTCCTGGCGAGGCCGGAGCAGAGGAGGTTCTGGAGGAGGGAATCGGGGAGCTGACTCAGCAAAGCAGTCCAGCATGATTTCCCGGGAGTGCAGCGTCCCTGCCGGAGCCTGCGGAGTATATGTAAAAATTTAAAAAGGCAAAATTTCCCCAGAAAACTAATCAGCTGGGGTGACAAATTGAAGTTGTTGCTAGCTAGAAAAACCATGCAGTTACGAACCATTCTTTCTAAATGCACTGACATTTTTAAGTATTTTTTTTAATGCTACAAACTAAAGCAAAGGAAACTCACTATTTTCCCTTTTTTGTATTATGTTACACGTATCAGTCAAATAGTCTGTATGTCTTTCTGTCTCCATCATATTTAAACATTGTAATGATCATTACATGCTTGTTCTGAGTGTTCGAGATTATAATAAGAAATTTGTAGGAACATAGGAACAGGGAAAATGAAAATCATGTTCCCAAAGTATTTCACTGGTCCACTTTTCTCTAATGTCTTCAAAAAACACAAAAGTCACCTGAGGAATTTATGATCTGGAAATATTCAGCATTAAATACAGAAGAAATGGCACATGTATTAATAGAGACAGAGTCTTGCTCCCATATGGAATGTGCATACTTTTAGAATTCTGTTGTACTTGCTAAAAGGAGTGAATTCAAACACTTTCCCCACAGAAGAAAGGGTCTTCGAAGAGAGTGGACATGTTTGGATTTAGTGAAAATGTTTGGGAAGGATGTTTTACATGTAGGCTAAAACATTGAAGAAAAACCACAAAGAATTTTTAGAAATGAAGTGATACACATTGCTATCATTAGTACTGTAGAAGGTGTAGGCAGTTATCAAGGGAGAAATTTTGAAATATTTTTTCAATGCTGTTTCTTTTTGTAGTTTGAATTTACAAATACTTTAAAGTGATCTATGACTGCTAGGGCAGTGATCAAACTTTTTTGATCACACACCCCTATGAACAAAAAATTTTTGAACATGCACCCCTGATATGTGTATTTATTTATTTATTTATAAATTATAGACATGTACAACTGTACATGTTATGTACACATTATATACATGTACTTATTATGTACATTATAAAACATACACAAAAATAGATATTAAAGTGATTAAAGATGACATAAACAATGTTATTAAAATAACATTTTATTTTATTGATGGTGCAACCCCTTTTTTTGTTCTCACCAAAAATATTATTAAGAATTATTTTTAGTGAGAGTAATGTGATTGGATAAGCTTTATTATTTTTTAAAATCTTGATTTAACACTTTGTGATACAGTGATTCGAAGGTGTTTTTCTATGTTCAGTTTATTCCAATACTTGGTCTTAATGGCTGTCATAGCTGTAACAGCTCACAAAGATAGATAAATCCAAATGGAAGAAGTATGTTGTTAGCTGTTTTTACTGAATCATGATACTCATTTTTCAAGCCCATCTACCACTTACGGAAAGGTTTTTGTTGAAATTCAGCTAATAAATTTCCATCTTCCCTCATGTTAAAACTTGCAAACTAATTGGTGGTATTGCATTTTGATATCTTTAACAAATGGTTTCAACATCCACTGAAACTCTTCCTTTGGAAGATTTTTAAACAGATTAGAAAGTTTCATTTCTGAATTTTGTAAGTGTACATATATGAGAGGTTTTGTAGATGACACATAATTTTTGGCAAGAACTCACAAAAAATCTCCACAGCGCAAGTTTCTTTTGAAAAGCAGTTACTTTCTCACCCACTGTTAGAACATCACTTTCACCTTGAAGGAATACATTAAGTGTGTTTATTTTTCTGAAAATAACTGCTGGGTAACCTACTACTGACTTCATCACAGAAAAGGTTAGAAAACTTGTCTTTTCGTAAAAGAAAAATGTGTAACTGTTTTTTAAATTCAACAACTATTTTAAGCCCATTGCCACAAGATAACCAGCAAAGGTCTTTGCGAGACTGTATTGGGTTTATGTGGCAAGGTTTGTAGTGGGAGGGGCTGTGTGGATGGCTTCTGTGAGAAGAGACCAGGAGCTGCCCCTGTGTCACACAGAGCCAGTTCCAACCCCTTCCAAAATGGACCCACTTCAGGCCAAGGCTGAGCCAATCAATCAGCAATGCTGGTGGTGCCTCCAGGAAATTTAAGAAAGATTTAAGAAAGGGTAAAAAAATGCCACACAGCAGGTGTGAGAGATACAGGAGTAAGAAAATGTGAGGGAAACAGCTATGCAGACACCAAGGTCAGTGAAGGAGGAGGGGAAGACCTGCTCCAGGTACCGAATCTGCTAGAGATTCCTCTGCATCCCCTGGAGAAGACCATGACGGCGTAGGCTGTTGTCCTGGTTCGGGCTGGAATAGAGTTCCTGTTTGTTTTTGGTAGCTGGAGGAGTGCTGATGCACACTGAGATTTCAGGTTCTCTCCAGCTCCGTGTGCCCTGCCTGTGTGCGGGTGCGTGAGGGGTGGGGGGGAACACAGCTGGAGCGCTGGGCCCGGATTGGCTGATATTCCATGTCATGTGACATTATGCTCACCATATAAGGGAAGGAGTGGGCGGGAAGGCGTGCTCTCACTTCCTGGAGTGTTGCTGCAGCATCTTTGTGTTTCGGGAATGCCAGCTGGGAGCAGGTGGGGTGTCGGTCGGCAGGTGGTGAGCAGTTGCGTTGTACATTACCCATTTATAGTGTCACTGTATTATTTTATTACTCTTATTAAACTGTTTTTTATCTCAACCCATGAGTATCCCTTTGCCCCTCCAATTCCCTCCCCATTCCCAGGTGTGGGGGGGAGGGTGGGTGAGCAGCTGCGGGGTGGTTGGCTGCCGACCAGACTCAAACCATGACAGCTGTCCCTGTGCAACCCATGGAAGACCACGTTGGAGCAGATATCCACACTGCAGCCCATGGAGAGCCCACACTTCAGCACGTGGATGTGCTCTGAAAGAAGCTGCAGCCTGTGGAGATCTCACACTGGAGCATGTTTTCTGGCAGGAACTGTATCCTGGGGTGGACCCACACTGAAGCAGTCCGTTCCTGGAGGACTGCACTCTGTGGAGAGGACTCGTGCTGGAGCAGTTCATGCAGGCCTGTGATCTATGGGAGAAACCCCACATTAAAGCAAGGGAGCAGTGTGAGCAGGAAGGAGCGGCAGAGGCAAAGTGCTATGAACAGACTGCAATCCCCATTCCCCATCCCTGCACTGTTCAGGGGAGGAGAGGCTAGATGAGTCGTGACTGAAGAGGAGGGGGTGAAAGGAAAGGTTTTTGGTTTTGTTCTTTATTTCTCACTGCCCTACTCTGTTACTGATTGGCAGTAAATTATATTAATCTCCCGAAGTCAAGTCTGTTATGCCTGTGATGGTAATTGCTAAGTGATCTTCCTGTTTCAGCCCACAAGCTTTTTCATCATATTCTCTCCTCCTGTCCTTCTGAGAAGGGAGAGCATAAGGTGGCTTGGTGGGTACCTGGCAGCCAGCCAAGGTCAACCCACCACAGGTAAAAAATATTTTCATGGCCACTCCCCATCTCGTTATGAAGTATTGTAAAGATTCTGTTTCAAGGTCTTGTTTTTATGAAATTAACCACATTGACATCCTATGCATGTCTGGCTCTCATTTCTTTGCTACAATGGTTTGCCTATGAACAGTGCAGTGAATGAATTTCAGGTGTGGTGCTACCTCTGCAACCTTACCACGCAATCATTTTCTTATGCCAGTCAAAGCAGCTGCTCCACTGCTTATTACACTTGCACAGATTTTCCATAAAACATTTTTAGTAAAGAAGTAATTTACTGTTGAAAATACAGCTTCTCCGGTAGATCTTTCCTTTAGTGGCTCACAGAAAAGTAGTTCTTCATGTATTTCACTATCAAAATAGAATCTAGCAAATATTGTAAGCTGAGACATGTTAGAAACATCCGTACTTTCATCCAGCTACATAGCAAGCCTCTCACACTATGTAATTGGTACTGATACTTGTTTCTTAAAATCTTCATCAATGTTTCTCTGCATCTTCCAACAGGGTTTGCTGACAAAGGAATGCATTTTAGTCGGCCGCGGTATTGCTTTCTGTGTAGTATTTCAGCCCTTTGTACCATGACAGAAAAAACAAGTGTTTCCCCACTGATAAGTGGCTTTTTGTCTTTTGCTATGAAGTAAGAAACCTCAGAAGAGACTTCTATACATGTATCATTAGGTTCATTGAAGTTTTTTTTTAAGTACTGAATTGGGTATCACATAGCTTGAAGCATTCTTAAAAAAAATGTAGAGGTTTGTCTTCATGTTCTGGATGCTCAGTTTTTAAACGTTTTGCTAATTCTGATGGCTTCATGGTGTCTTTAGCTAACTTTTCAAAGCACATTATATAGGGTGAGGTGTTTTCTGTGCATGTTGATGTGTATGGTCAGCTGTGTGCTTGAGTATTCTGATTGTATGTGCTTCTGTGTTTCTGTATATGCCTGAGGAGTATGTATGCAGCCTCACTACCAGCTCAACCTCAGGAAAACAGAGCCACAGCATCAATGCATCATCAGGGTAATGGATTCATCAACCTGTAGCAGTACAACCCTTAGATTATAGAATCTCATTAAGAAGAATAGTAAGTATAGCTATTACTTTAACCAAGTATCACAGATACCATCTATGCTGGTGATGTTTCAACAGGATAGATTAGTTCTACATGTAATGAAATTATGTAACAATGTACTAATGTCTGTTAGTAGTTATCAACATACTACAGTACCGTCCTAATGGTACAGGTTGTTTGTACAGTTAGAGAATTGGACACAGATTATGTCAGCAAATTGCTTACAAAAATTATTCTTAATTTAGTTTTGGTAGACTATTAGTATGTTACAATTCATCCCATATGTAATAATTAAACTACAGAACTTGCAGTTGTTTCGTGCAACTTTCTATTGTCCTGGCAACCATTCCAGGGAATGATCTTTGCTTCCATAATTAAGAGACCTGAAGTGACTCATGTGCATATACTCATTGCAT